CCATTCAGCGAGGCATCATTTAAAGCATGCAAGCCGCTTTCCTAGTTAGTTATTTTGCTCTTTTGGGGGAAGCAGGGTGCGGCAGGCAGTTTCATGGAAGTTTAACTGCGTTTCCACGCTAAATATTGTAATACTTGTATGGATTAGAAAACAAAATATTTTTTTTAACCCAACACGACTCGGACGTGGTAGTTGAACTGGCCCAAAAGCGATACGTTAAAAATAAACAATTTGTTAAAATACATAAAATTGATTTAAAAATTTTCGATCCGCAATCATTTCAATCGAAAAAGGGCATTTGAGTATATTTTTTTACTTTAATTGCAAATCATCTTAACTCCCTATATTAAGTTAGCTAATGTTGATACTTTATTAGTCAATTATTATCTAATAGCGTTACAATTCATAATAACCGTTTTTCTTCTCAAAGAATTCTTTATTATAAAAGGAAAACTATATATTCTTGTGCCCGATAGCGATCTGACGGAAACAAAATGAACGCTTTGATATGTTGCCGTCCATTAACGGGTAAATATTTATTCTTTTTTCACACAGTGTTGCCACGGGCTCACTTTTGTTGACGGTGGCTGATACGTTTGGTGTAATAACAGAGGGCGAGATGTAATAACAAACCGAATCGGAGCTAGTCAATCAATTTTTTAAACAACCTGAATTTCTTGTTTTATTTTGTAATTACGGGAATAGTACTCATTGTACCTGAACGCTTTTTGCGGCGTTTACACAAGTCGACCGGCGAGATACCTTGGCCTCACAGAAAGCTTGGAATTATAGAACTTTTCAACCAAGTTCAAACAGGTGCCACTCTTTTAAAAGTTGGCTACGGATTTGCAACTCCACCATCCTTTGTAGATATAACATCTGATGAACCTCCTGCTCACTTGCCATCTTCACACATAAAATAAAAAAGAAATACATTTGGAACAATTTCACGACATGTCACTGGAAAGATTAAGCGTTTTTGTTTGATAGAAATCAAAAAATCAGGAATTTTTATGCAAATTTGAATTAACTTTAATAATAATAACTTGAATTGGAATACTTAGTTAAAGCCAAGTATTTAACTAACTAGTCCATTCTTATTTAGTTTCAAGTCTTTCTTCTCTACACGTTGATAAGTGAAGACACAATTTTATGTCTTTAAAAGAATGTGGAATTTTTGACAATTAATGTTTGTACGGTGAAGTATAAAAAGAAAACTTATTTACAATATGTTTTATAAATACTTAAAACAAAATAAAATTTAACATTCAGTTTCATTATAATAATAATAATAATTTAAATAGTCTAATTCTGAGAAAAACAATATTTTCCAGAATTATTGTTGAATTTTTACCATTGGGCGAAAACTAACACATAATTATTATAAGTCTTATGTATCGGGTCAATGAAAAAGTAAATCTTTCTTTGTGTAACTTTAATTTTTTAATTTTGTAGAAAGAGATTTAAAAAAAAGTAATGTATATTATAAAAAAACAGAAAGTGAAACAGCCTAGAATTGTTACTAATTAAGTGGAATACAAATCGAGATGAAATTTTTCGAGCTGTAAAATAAGCTCGGGGCTAAATGGAAAAACAGTGTTTTAAAGCATAAACTGAAACTTCACCACAAAACCAAATCGTTGAAAGTCTAGCTGCTGTAGTGTTCAGTTTATCGGACTAATGGACGTTTTGTGATCTGAACATGCTTTTTCTACTTTTTTCTCAATATTATATTTTAAAAAATGTATTTATTCTTATTGACTGGATTGGTTAATGAATCTATGAGAATTTGTCGAGTAATGTTTTAATTTAAACGTAATGCCAAGTTAATAAATTAAAAAAAATATTAACTTTGACCACAGACAAGTTAACACTATGTTATAAAAATAGTTACATAAAATGTTCATTGGCCAAAACAATAATTTATATTCATTAAGTAGCTTTCGGAGCACATTATTGAACATGTAGTGAAAATATAAAAATAAAATAAGTTGAAGGCAAGTAGCATGAAAGGTTACAAATACACACACATTTTAATAACACACATATTATCCTACATTTCTAGTGCTTAACAGGTACAGTCAACGTCACATCAGCCAATACACTACAGAATGAATATTTCCCATTATGGCATAACAAGACAATAACTAAGTGTTGCAATGCCAAAAAGTGTCCACTGAAACAACGCCGACTGCAAATAAATTTAGATAAATGTAATATTTTCTACTTACTCGCAGTTTTCTTGTACTCATAAAATTACATATGCACGAAAAATAAAAATCTATAATCTTAGTCAACACCTATAAACAACAAAGAGGTATAAAAAAAACTCCTATTGAAATTTCAAGATTATATGAGGATAGAATGTCTACTTATACATAATGTAAAAAAGTGTGTGTGTACTTATGTACGTACGTAACAAGTTATACGTCTTTAACGTCACACAAGAAAAATAACTAAAAATTTTATCCCTTGTGCCAGTACTCTTTGTTTGTGAAAAAGACATTAAACGCAATTGATTTTAAGTAACAGAGAACTTGGAATTGGAAGTAAATGTCAAAAAGCTGTTATTGGTTTCTATGACAATACCGTAAAGTTGGTTGTGACGCTACCAATTTCATCATGACGCTTTTTGAGGGTAAGTGTGCGCGCGCTACGTTAAAAATTTTACTCTCATAATTTCTTCCAAAATCCTAAAGATACATTTTGCTAAAACACAAGGATTAATTAATTACAATCAACGTTTTAGCGTAGCATTTATTTAACAAAATCAAACATAGAATCGACGTATAATTATAATTCAGAAGTACCCCAAACACAATCCCAACCACTTCAAACATGGACCGTATTAAGCATTCTTACTAAGGGATCAGATACGGGAATGAAGTGGTTAGAATTGAAGATTAATTCAAAAGACGTGTAACCGAGATTAGTGGCTGTCACAGTGGAACCGCGTCGTGGAGGCTTGACGAGGGACAGCCGAAAGACCCTATTCTTAGTCTGTGCGACACGTGTGGCAAATTTAAATATCAAACCGGTCACTAGCACTGTTTACCAATTTATTATTAAAGTTTCATCATTCGGATTGAAGGTTTATGAAAATCTGAAAATTGCGTTGAATAAGTCCACATTTTCGATTAAATATACCGTTCCATTTAGATATTTGAAAGCACTTGGAAAGGAAAGAATGCAAAATGCTTAGCTAGTCACCGAAATGGGATTTTGAACGTAATATTTTTAATTTACACGTCACAAATTTTAAAATTGTAATCAATTTAAACTAAAGGAATCTTTAGGTGTCAGTTTAATTTGTAAATTATGCTTTTGTTTAAGTTTGTTGTAAATAATACTTACACGTAGAAATAAAAAAAATATATATTATTAATGGCCATTATCATACGTGATTATTGTTAATAAGAGAAAATATAAAATCCCGTTCCCATTTACTGCGCAGATATAATAGAAATTGGATGAATGATTAGGTAGAGTTGTGTTACGCTTTTTGAGTGCGGCATTGAATGTAATGGAGATCGCCTTTTAAACCTTGACCCTGTCAATAGAGTAACACGACACGAGGGATAATTACCTACGGTATGAGGCTAGATTCAAACACAATCCCGTCTGCGCCCCTATTGTCTAATTGGCATTGATTATTTATTAAAATTTGCTTGCGTATTTCACTTTTTGGTCTGTAAATTCTCTATTAATATAGTATTCCTCTTTTCATAGTTGAAACTACAAGACAAGAAATTTCAAAGCGTCTATTTTTAACGACCGTTAAACTAATTTAGTATGGATCTCTTTTGAGTCGTTTACAAAGACGCAATTTAGTGTCAGATAATAAGTTATTTAAATTACTAAATGTACTAATAAGTAAATGTTGTGTATGTTATCATTTAAATTCGTTTAGTGTCGTCAATCTCACACAAAGATCTTTACATAATCTTTACATGATGTGAATTCTTACAAGTTGCATTATTCCAGTGGACCCGACGTACGTATTTCAAGTATCCTCATTTTTTTCTTAAAATCCGAGATATAAGGCGAGGCACGTTACTAGGGCTTCTCAGAGGGGATTGAAAGCTTTGAGATATTTCCTCTCTTCTATGTGCGTCAGGTGTTGTAGTTTTATTATCCTTGGTATGTATACCACAAGCGTAAGGCTAACGTTTTGAAATGGAATCAGTACGGACTATCTGCGAAATGGGATCTTCAGATTTTTGGAAGGCGACGATGCATGTATTTCACTTAATCATTGTATATCATATTTTTATGTCTACCTAATAAACGTTAACCATCCTTAGGAACAAAATCCCAGACAAATGTCAGTCAAATGTTCTGTGTGAGAATCAAACCCCTGGTGCCGAAGCCAATGGCTTGACAACTGCGCCACTGAGTCATCTTAACATACAACTTTGAATACAAAAAATTTTTTTTAACTGAAATGGAGTCGCTCGAACCCGGCTTTTTATAGGGGGTCGCGGATCGTGTGAAAGAAATACCACGGCCTTTTGGAAGAACAGGTTACAGTGAAAGTGTAAATTTACATTTTCCCGAGGAAGAGGAGGACACTGAGATGGTTAGAATGTGTTGTGTTGTCGACAACACTACACACGAACGTACATTAATGCGCGTTATTACACACGTTACTACACATTAATTAGTTACTACACACGTTAATGCGCAACTTATTGTAGTTCATTTTCGAATACGAACACGACGAAACCAACACATCAGGTAAACAACGTACACCCGAGTCAGGCAGTTCCCACCAAGCAAACGAATAACACAGTCGACAACTGTCGACGCTACGGTCCGCATGCTGCGGCCGCTAGCCGGCAATACCCACAATTTATTAAGGCAGATATTTTGTACTTAGTTATTGACTATCATGCTGAAACGAAGCTTGTCCAAAAACTATGTGCCAAATGAAACTAGATATATAGTCCACGGACCGAAAGCGCAAGCACTAATCATGACAAAGACAAAGAAATGGAGACATGAAAGTGGTTCATAAAAGACATCAAGAAGGTGGCGCTCATCTTACGGGTATTGTTGATATGCAAAAATTATTATGTAATACCGCCTGCCGTTTGCCACCAAATAAAGCTTAAAAATTTTAATTCAATACTTTTTAACCCTAAACATCACTTAAAATAATGATGATGTTGCATCGAACTCTTTTTAGTTTTGAGAGTTTAAGTGTAGGTTACAGCAACTGAAATGTTTTGTGTGTCGTTACATACAACACACTAAACATTTCGAAACAACACCCACACTATTTCACAGCATTAAAAAACTGTTATCATTGACTGTTATGTCTCGATATAAAATATATATATATATAAATAACATACGCACGACATAATTATTAAATGACAGAACACAACCGACGTTAAATTCGCTTAAATTAGGTATTAAAATAAAATATAATCTAAATAGATAAACGTAACTCACATATAAATATTAATAGTCCCATGTTATTTCCGTAGCAGCACAGATTTTAAGCGAATAATATCCAGGTTTCATTCTGTTTGAATTATTCATTGAAGAAGAATATGACAGTCGCAATGAATTCCGAATGACTCAAATCCACGGCTGAATAAGCACGTTGTGAGACTACATAAGGTTATCAGGCCCCGTCTGACAGCATGATGCCAATAAGCCTCGTCGTATAACGTTCAATTGCGCAGACTGCTTTCTTTGATCGATGCAAAAAGAGTTTTTATGTTAATGTTTTTTTACATCAATCATCTCTCATTTTATTATTACATAACGTTGTGCACAGCGAATATAAAACTTTACATATCAATATAAGTTGAAAAACGAATTTAAATCGGCCCAAATGTTTACGTGTATAAACATCAAGTGAAATCAAGAAGTTATACACAGATGGCTCGATATCGTTATGTTCAAAAAATCAAGGTGAAGGCAATTTGTTAATTTCAACTTTAAGTGCCGACTTATCACGCGCTCAGTGGTGAAGGAAAACATCGTGCGTATATTTATAAAGCCTGATAATCCGTAGAGGGGTAGCGTAGTGGACTATGCCTCGATGCTCTCTGTACAGATGGGGCCTTTACCCAGCAGTGGGACATACGTAGGCTGTTACTTTACACTGTGGCGTTGCCGTTTTAATCCAAAAATTAATATAATCGTCTAATATTATATGTAACCGTATCCACGCGGCTGAACTTTCTATGCGTTATAATTACAAAAAAAATTCTTTCCAGGAGCGGTGTTTGCGGTCGAAGTGCATTTTGAGAACAAGGACAGCGGATTCTTCTTAAAACACACAGCGAGATGGAACGGCGCCGGACCACCACCCGAGCCGGTCGGGACAGCGTTGCCAGGCGCCCTGCTCTCTCTCGATCGCTTCACCGTTCTCCAAGGATCAGCCCCCGCGTCCGTCCGCGCGACATACGGACCCTTCTCGACCAAGCAGACAGTGCCCGCTCGCTACGCAGTACCGGACCCCCTGGAGCCGCCTCGCAGAAATGCAACCTTAATGGAACTGCAGGACGCGACAGCGCACAGGCTGGACGTGTCTGCCCACTTGGTGTTCCGAGAGCTGCCTCGCGATGCCCCAGTCTTGAGGGTGCTGTTCCACACCGGCGGCGAAGGCGGTACGCGGCGTGCAGCCACGCGGCCTCGCCGTGTGTGCATAACGCTGCATGCAAGCCTCGGTACTAAAACACTGACCGCTTCGTGCGGCCCCGAAGGCGAAGAGGGGGCCTGTTTGGCCGAACTGACGATCCCCGCCGCATGGTGGCCGGCGGACGGTAAAGGGAAGCGGCCCCCGAAAAACATAAGATTGGCGTACAGCGCAGCGGAGGCTAGCAGCGGAGAGAGTGCAGAGGGCGCCTGTGGAAGAGTATCTGTCCAACCAGCGTGGCCCCTGGGCTCTGTAACGCTGGCTGGCGCCCGAGCTGGATATCGTGAAGCGCGGGCGGGTGATGCCGCCCTACTTTTACCGCGCGCGCCACTATACCCCCACTCCCGATTACACCTACCGTTTGTCGTACGTCGCGACGCAAGCCATTCCATCGGCCATGTCGTTATAAGGTGAGAGAATTCAAAGTACATATAATAACTTAAAATATATATAATTATAAATTTTTATAGATTCAGATTTTTAGTGAATATCATTAGCTCTTTTTCATTTAACGTATTTCCGGTTTGAGAAAAATGTGTCCAGTTACAGACACCCCGTCAAACTTTTACAAACCGCTTGTCTGTTTTTCATATGTATACGATAATAAGGGCGAAAAAACAGACAAAGACGCACATTTATTACTTACATAGTAATAACATTCTCAATAAACTACTGTCATTCATATCAAACGGATTGCTAAATAATCTTGGGACATCAACAAAAGTGTTCTCGAGAAGACAATGATAATGGCCACATATAGCACATGTCACGACATGTTTCCCGGCCTAAAGTCAACATCTCTACGTCCATTTTATTCGTGCCACATTGACACTCACGACCACTCAGTTTGACCAGTTTAATGTTAACAAAGCCCTATACAGTTTCGCGTAGGAGGCGTCATTAAATAATAACACGGCACCTCCGCTAAATGACACCGTCGTGAGAAATAATTCTGTTAGGCAATGATGATAATGGGCTTTTAAGCCAGCTCCGTAACTTTTAACTACCATCATATTGAAAATGTATGAAGCGCCTGAGAGCGCTCAACAATTACGAGGCAACGTGCTACGTGAAAATTCTGAAGTACGATTGATGCTTTTAACCTCGATGGACCATTTAAACTTTTTTAGTACCGTTCTTTGTTTCCATCAAATTTAATTTTCTAATTATACGGCAACTCATTTCATGCTAACCATTAATTTTAGTTTCTTTTTTTTTTAATTATTTTGACTTCAAAATGTGTAACTGCAAATAGCATTTTGATTTTTGAGCAATATGAATCTTTTGAACTACGAATTTCTAATATACGAGGAGTCAGCAGACACCGCAGTGGTACTGTTAAAAGACATCCACTGTAAAAGACATTTTAGCTTTGGTATAAGGTACTCACGGAACTTTTACATATCTTGAACCTTCTTTAGTAGTAATAGTATTCTAGTTTTATCTCTACCATTGTCACAAACTTTTGTCGTAATTTACAAGATATTCTTCCTAAGCCATTTATGCAACGGTGCTCAAAGAATATTTTTCTGTGAACATTGTACGTATGAATTAGTAGGGATATTATCATAAGTCATGAATTTTACTACCCTTTGTTACATTAGGTAAGTAGAACGGCGCATGTAACGGCGGAGGTTAAGCCGCGGGCGGCCACGGTCACCGCCACGCGCCTCGAGCCGCCCCTCCACAATGACGAACGCCTCGACACGTGAGCTTTTATTACATCCACCTTACCAATTTCTTTGACGTGCTAGCCCATACTCCGGGCGCTCGCTTTATTCATTTCTTAGAAATAGAAAAGATAAATGAGTTAATAAAAAGAACTTAGTGGCCAGTAAGCCAAACTACGTAGAGCCTAATTACAATTCTAAGTAACCGACACGATCGTTATTAATTCGGGTAGAACTCTCGCTACAACGGCTGACGAGAAAAGTCCCCCTAACACCGCGAGCGCTGTTCCTTTTATAGACCGTTGCAGTGTACTACTACTCTCCTATCTTCCAACACAATATACTCGAGCAACCTGAGTTCGATCTGTTCGAAACTGTTAATTTTAAATGCTGAGTTATGTCTGTGCTCCGTGGTGAAGGAAATATCGGGAGGAAATCTGCATATTTTCGTAATATTTCTGAAATATGTGAAGTACGCCAATCTGCAATGGGGTCGCGTGGTGGAATATGCCCTAATATCCCCTGTGGAGAAGAGGTCTTAGCCCAGCAGTGGGACATTTATAGGCTGTTACTTTACTTTACTGTCCGTCCATAGACTATTAAAATTTCATAACTCGAGGCGCTAGCCAGTACCCACGAAGACGTACTAATTGGTTACGCGGTTGAGCACTGTGCGGGTATAGTGCTGTCTAGCAGACACATGAATGTGCTGTAGCTCTTACGTTAAGTAGCACTTGCACTCGGTTAAGCAACTTTTACTTGCTCTACGTATTACTTAACAGAGGCACTACGTATGTTACGCAGCAATATAAATTGTTTAGTATATTTTTGTAAGTGAGAAGGTGGCAAGCGAGCTAGCGGTTCACCTAATATTAAGTGACAATCGCCGCCCATAGACATATTGCAAATTTGCAACACCCATAAGGGTACAGATGCCTTGCCATCTTTAATAAAATAGGCTCACTGACCAGACGAAACGTAGAAGTATAACACGTCTACTTCACGCTGGTTTTCCGTGAGGTTGTGGTACTTCACCGGACAGATCTACCCAATTCGTGCAACGGCAAACACTGTTGACATCATTTATAGAACATTATAAAAGCTTGAGAGGCAGTGTAAAATGGTATACTAGTTTAAATTTAAAAATACTAAGCAAAAACAGGGATAATAAAAATGCATTATCGTGTCATAGTTAATTAAACTCACTAGTAGTGTCTACGATGCGCTTACCACGTTAATAACTCTAACTTACTTTGTCTATTCTGTTGGTGTTATAAATGTGACATGTTGTCACTATTTATAAAACTAAACTTTTTGACATAAGTGCAATGCGTTTTACGTTACAGAATTTTAGGCCAAAACTTTGAAATAATAGTAAGTAATAATATACATATACTATATTTTAAAGTAACAGATTTCGTAAAAGTATGTCAAACGCGCACAAGCGACAATAACTCTGTAAAATTGCCTCTTCACATTATACGGGAAACGTTTAGGATTCTTTGTTTTGCATAATCGCCGTTCGCATGCACAATGTATTGGAATGCGGTTAGATTCGGTTTGGCCAACTTTATTGCATCTGTGGCTCGGCCATGATTGGCTTGGTTCCAGTGCAAATTTAAAAAGATCTATTCCGTTTCTATTCTCTCGAACCTTGCGTGAGGCTATTTGCATTTCGCGTCATCCGAGTAAGTGGGTCGACTGTCCCGGGATATAAACGGCTCCAGCTTGCTGGAAAATAACTAAATTTAACCGGAATGCAATTTAGTTTATGGGCGGCATTAGACAGAGCGATCTAAAATCCACTACAATCCTTTTTGGTTTTATGTTCACTTAAATCGTACTATTTATAATCACTAGTTTGTTGCACGTTAAAATAACTACTATTTACCTATAAGATGTATAAAATTTTGTTTCTAGTATTATATACTAAAATTACTGCTACACTCCATCGCGCAATTAAGGTATTGACTTCAGTGCCGTTGTTCGTGGGTTCGATTCCCATAAGGACAATTATTTGGGTAATTGTTTCGTTTCTGGATTTTTATCCACGTGCTTATGATCAGTGCTGGATTAAGCGAGTGCGGGGCCCGTGGTAAATTCTTTCAAACAGCCAAAGCAAAATTCCATACACTTATTTATTTAATAAGTTTCTCTCAGAAAACTATGCCTCAGGCAGAGATGAGTGGGTTTAAAAAAGCAATTGCTACTGTTGCTATGCGGTTAATCCGGCACTGCTCATGATTGTTAAACATCCTTACAACACAGAGTAATATTATCTTAGTGGAGCTGCTTAAAAAAAGCTAACAATCCACAAAACTTGGCCTTCTTAATTTTATTTTTCGATACAACAGAGACGAAGAGAGTGGTGGGGCGGGCGGGCCCGGTTGGGAAGAGATACTGACTTGGCTGGTTGAGGTGGGAGCTGAAGGAGAAGGGGATGCGGAGGGGTCGGAAGGGGAGTCGGGCCGCGGAACGGCTCGTTTGAGCTGGTCCGCCAGAGTATCATCGGCATCCAGCTCCGCTTCAACAACAGAAGAAACTCCTCACGAGCACAGGGTGAACACACGTCTAGACATAGAAAAGGACGACATACAAGCTGTCCTGCCAATATCCAAGGTAACCATACAGTTTCATTTCTCCTTAACATTTTAACTAGTAATTACATACTGTATGTGGTAGGGCCACGCAACAGCCTTCGCTGTTGCACGAATGGGAAGGTCCGTCGGGGAAGTACCACGACCTCAAAGAAGACCGGCGCGAAGAAGAAGTGGTATACTTATGCGTTACGTCGGTGAGGGAAGTAGCCGGAACCCACTTTGTTAAAAGGTGGCAACGCATCAGAAACCCCACGGGTGTTGCAAATGTCCATGGGCAGTGTGTATCACTTAACGTTAGGTGAACCGCCAGCGCACTTGCCACTTTCTGACATAAAAAAACCTTTAATACTATTAAGTGATGTTAACACAAGAGTATAATAATAACTTATACCCGTATTCAGTCAACGGGTTCCGTTTAAGCACCAAATGGCCAAAATCAGTGAGTGATTCATTGATATTGTGAGAGTAAAACGTATTGTAATAAACCGGATTATATTTTTTATAATTAATGGGCCGAAACAGAAACGGAGGTCTTCCCTTCTCTACCTTCGTTTATTGCTGGAAGAATTTGTATTGAGATTTAAGGTTTTAATGAAATTAATCTGTACTACGCGCCTATCCAATTGGGCTATAAATACAAAATAATTTAAATGAAGTACTAATTAAAGTGCATTTCATGATTTACTTTTCATTTTTTACGTAATATTTTTGCCAAAACCTGTGTAAAAAGATATTCTTATAAATAACAGTAGCCCAAGAAATAATCATCCATATAATATTGCTTAGTTAATAAACTAAGACAGATTACGACGGTGAAGGTACTTATTAAGATTTTAATAAGTACCTTTCTATTTATAATATTTGTTGTAGCCATATTCTACTGTATTAGAAAATATCTTGCGAAATATAAGAAAAATGTAGCACAGTCGTCGGCTGCTTTGTAAAAAAATTAGTTTCTTGCTTTTATTAAAGTCTCTGTTCTGAAAAATGTGTTAATTAGAGCAAATTTAGATTTTTAATTAAATGTTCCTAGTCTTCCACGTACAGGCTTTGTATGTACAAAAAGGTAATAAAAATACACTAGGAGAAAAAGATAACATAATTCAAATTTAAAGTTGGTACTAAGGTTGCGTGTAGTGAAAATTAACTACATCACTACACATTGACAACGTACATCACTTATAATATTATTAACTTAAATAAGTTTAATACACATAATAAAAAATGACAGTAAAAAATTTAAATAATCGACAGTATTAACATCAATTAAACATCATCCTTCTGAGTAGGATGTTGTCAGCATTGGTTGTTTTTGAAGTAAATAACATTATCATTCGCACTAAGGGAGCGATTAACCGAGTTAGGCGCACAACGCGTGTGGCCCTTTTCAATTATTGCCGGCTTAATGAAACAACTGAATTATATTTGTTAAGCAGTTTATCTTGCGTCCGTGGAAGCCATTAACCCGACCCGAGCCGGGCCAATCTGCTCACTGATGGATGAACGTCGGTATTTCTGTGTATCTCTAACCGTCTATTAAAGCAATTGGTACAGATGATTGAAACTGCTGTTATCGCATGTTCCTAATTAGTGCCCCATCTTGAATTAACTAGTATAACGTTCGCCGCGTATCGGCTGCTCGCAATCTATTAGATATAACGGGTTTGCTAATTAATACAAACAAAGAGCTCTTGGGCTTTATCGCTCTCGGATGGTTTCAGATAAATGCGAACCTCTAACTTGCAAACTTTGTGTGTTATGAAATAAGGCAATATTTGTTTTAATTTGTATGATTATTAAGAACCTTATTGCAATTTATATGTTAAAAGGTTAAATAAATCGAATACTGTCAAATTAAAACGGCGCTTATCGAAAAACTACTGGAATTTAATGTTCGCATGTGCATTTGTGTTAAAAAATCCTCAATAGAAATACCGACATAAACGTTATACCACGCTATTAACACGAAACCCGAGGCTAATATTAGTGAATACCACCGAGTGCAAATAATTTACGCTGCGACCGCCGCCATATTCACGTGCACGCAATCTGTACACGTAATGTGTCGTGTTTTGTTTAGAACTGGGAGGTACTCAACACGGCGGTGCTGACGGGGCGTCAGGTCTCGCAAGCGATGAAGGTGCTGATTGTGTCACAAGCGGGCCAGGTCGCTGACGTAACCTTACAGAGCTCCTGCCACTCGGAGGATGAGAGTGTCCTCAAGGTAAGCGTGCCTGCCCTTCGTCGATGACACTCGACCAAATTGGATGTTCGTTATTTCATAGATGAGACTGTATCTCTTCCTGATTCGATGTTAACGTTGTTTTTATTTATTACCTTATAAATAACAACCAAGTAGCTTATCCGAATCTGTAAAAGAATTTGAACGATAAGTTTAATGAAATAAATTTTTACACACAATTTAAAATGAAAGTCACTACCATAAACTAGATAGTTATAAGAATCTCTAAATTATGTATAAAAAAATTACCTGGTATATTATATGAATACAACAATAACATATAATATTTTATTTAAAGGTAGTAAATGTGATAACAACTCACTTATAGCCTTAACGGCTCAACAATTTTAGATGGTGACAAAACTATGAAAACTGAACAATTCCAGGATTTCAATAGACATTCTAATAAAAAATGTCGCTCGTAAAGATAGCACCCACTTTCGTAGTTTCGGGCCTTTTGAATTTATCTTACCTTTCACTTATTTTTAAACCAAAATTCTTAACTTTATAGAATCAAATAACTTTAATAAATTGAAACATACATCAATTAATAATTAAAATACTACGCGACATTATATTATTCTGTGCTACAGGTGTTTTTTGTTCCATATTAGAACTATTACAAATGTATACATTTAAACGATTTTCCAGAAAAAAGTGATCAATACATTTTTCAAATATCTTTTTATTAAAAAATAAAAGCTCTCTGAATTATCAAGCTGCCTAAGTTTCAGACTTTCGTACTCCCTTACGAGAGTGGAATTTGTCACGGGGATTATGTTATGAAACGAAACTTATACTTTTACCTATAACTATAATAAAAACCTGAACTTTGAAACAATAAAATAGTAATTCGGAGGAGATACATAATTATATGAAAACGTTTGCAGTTGGACACCATAAGAAAGAGTATGAGCCAGAATCTAGGCCTCTTCGATTCTTAATTCGATTAAGCTACAAAAATATTGAAAGAGATTCGGTGGAAAGTAAACAAAATAACATTATTGTAACTGAATTCGACAAATGCTTTAGTGATAAAGTAAACAAGACATTTAGGCTTTGGCAAGTTGCCTAGCCTAGACTGTTATTTGACGTGGAGCAAACATCTTTATTTGCCACGGTTTGTGGTAGTACAGCCTACATTTAGCTTTAAATTATATGTAACAAATACTTGCTGCAGGCAATGAAAGTAACGGTTGACGAGCGCCGAGGTGTATTTGATTTCAAGGAATTTCGTCCGGAATATTAATAAGAATAGGAAGACAATAAAGAAAACTGTCGCTCCCAGCGGATTAGGGCTTTAGTTTCCGTTAAAGCAGTATACATTATGAACTGTAACTGCAAACCACTAATAACTTCAATACTAGTATCGTTATGTTTTCCTATTTTGTTCCATAAGTAAACTGCGGTGTTAATAACACGAGATAAAGTTGAAGGTAATGACAGTATGATGAACCAAACTTACTTTTACCAACATATTCTTAATAGATGATGAAATTAAGTCCATATTTTTAACGAACAGCACAGCGCTAAAAATCACCGAAATCGAAATTTAAAAATACACTATAGAGTTATTAAATTTTATAATCGTAATATGAAATAAACCTAAGAGGAAACATTAAAATTTGATAGCAAAAAGTACGAAGAGTTTGTCGTCGCCTTGTGATCACACGTCTTTCAGATTCGCACCCAGACGCTTTAATCACTAAACGGCCGATTGCCACACATACGAAAATCTCACCATCATTTATCATAGTTAAATTGTCATATTCTACATAGTTTTTTCGCATCTCACAACGTAGACAAAAGGAAACTAGAATTGATACGAACAAGGCAAGGAAGAGAAAACATAAATGTAATTAGGATCATCTCCCATCTTTAGGTTTCCTCATCATGCAGCTCGGTGTATGTGGACGGTTCGGAGATCAGAGGCTCGTCGAACGCGTCCGTGATCGTCAAATACGGCACTTACACAGGCCTCGCGCGTTTCACCGTTTGGATGCCTGAGTATCCACTCGAGATCGACGTCGACGACAATCGCCTCTCGCAAATCAAAGGTACTGACGCGCTGACGGCGGTGAATGTTTGCAAAGCACTCCTAACCACCCTCCATTCGTAACAACTTGAAATATTGCTCACGAATTTATAAGTGTGTTGTTTTATCGCAATGAGTTTTGATTGTCCATTTATCATTCAGTATGTTTTCGAATCTTCAAACAACTGTAAGATTCTTTAAGTTATTATATCTTATTAGCAGGGATTTACAATATTTTCGTTAAAAACGTAGACAGGTTGAAGATGAAAAGATATCTTAGAAGCTACTTTGAGCTTTTACAAGTAATTTTTAAATACGTCCTTTGTCCTTCTTTTGTGTGTATAAAAAGGGTAGGATTTATCTACGTAAACAATTCTCAGGTTGGAAAGTATCAGAGGACGCGAACGCAAAAGACAGATTAAAGCGCTCGCTTTCGGCGAGGGGATGGGGTGGCGGGAGACCAGACGGCACCAACTCTTTGACCGACCAGCGATCTTGCCGTCTGAGATATCAACAAAGCAACGTCGAGGTTTGTAAAGGAACTTTTTTTATTTTCGCCCTGACATGAACTGAAACGTTGGCAGACAGACAGTTAGCGTCATGTCAGCAACTCAGATTAGGTGCTTGTTTACCTGTAGACAGACATCAAAGCTTGCGTCATTTTAATAAAGACGGGAGTTGATTTATTAAAATTAAATATTTTAGGTTTTAATACTTATTCAATATCAAATATTTTGCTGTAATACGATTATATTTATCTATCCTAAACTTTGATTTATATAGTCTACAAAAGACTTTTGCAGATCATTAATCACAAGTTAATTAATTTAGCGTATCACTTACAAAAGAAATTTTCATGTTCCTTTTTCTTTAGGAAATGATTATCCTTTAATTTAATAGGTTTTATTCTTGTTTTCGTATTTTCTTTAGCAAGAAAGTATGTTCATTAATTTATTGAATAAAATACAAAATAATTTTGAATAAAATAGTTCAAATTAATATAATTTACATATATATGGGTTCATACGTTTAAGTGCAGCAGCTACTTCTACTTCTATCAAAGTCAAAGACATGAGATCCTGAAAACTTTCACGTATTTTATTTTACTTCATTTCACGATTTTAATAAAATCGTTTTATATATTGTGCATTTTGAATTAAAAGTAACTGTGGTAGGATTTCATAATGTAAAGCTTGCTTTATTTCGCTGGTATCGAATACGGATTATCTGAACGAATGATAGCATATAGAACGAAATATAAGATGACCAGCTGCTGCCCGCGACTAAGTCTGCGTAGAATAGGCTGAAGGCGTAACATTCAGACAGAAAGACAGATATACATAACATATGTATATAAATTATAGCCTATGTATTATTCTAATGTATAAGCTATATAATTGGAAAGTTTCATTAAAATTCATTCAGTAGTATTTGCCTGAAAGAGTAACAAACATCTATCCATACATACAAACCTTCGCGTTTATAATATTGGTAAGGATTATTAAGGATTATAATAATAAAGATATAATAAATATATAATACAAACTTAAAATATACCTTTGGTCATTGATAAGATAACTTTAGCGCTGAGTTTTCATATTTTTATCAACCGACTTCAAAAAAGGAGGTTCTCAATTCGACTGTATTTTTTATGTTTGTTACACCAGAACTTTCGACTGAGTGAACTAATTTTGATGATTATTTACTTATTTTAAAGCTGGTGCTTCCCATGTGGTCCCATATTGATTTCATTTGATCTTGGACTCCGAAGATACTTAGGCAACTCCTGAAAATCAATTATAAAATGAACACAGAGCGATATATTTGAAGTCGGTTTTTTTTTTTTTATATCAACTTAATAAAAATTCATATGATTTTCGTTTTTTTAGGTTTATGCACGTTTCCTTGCCAAGGACCATGACTCTGGCCGTGTGTCGTATTTCGTTTCGCGACGCACCTGGCTCAAGGTGACCGAGCTGGTGCTGTCCCTGATGAGAGTCTCCGACCCTCGGATAGCTTCATTACGCGATCGGGTGCTGCAAGGGCGCAGTACCGGCCGCACTGAGGTGCAAGTACTTTCGCCAATCACAGGTTGGTAATTGGGGCGATTAGTTAATTGATTCTATGGGTTGGGCCAGTAGCGATTATTGTTTATTGTTCATAGAGAGAGTGGGTAAAATATTTGAACATGGTATAGCTAGACACAACGAACGTTGACAATTAAGGTATCTTAGTTTTTTAATAATAATTTCACTTATACCTGTATTAAATATGACTTACAATTCACATCGTTCTGTGTTATTAAAATAGTTAGGAGAACTCTTACAGGTAACCCACAGAACTCTTGTATGATACGCTCGTGAACAAATTACACAAGTCGTATGGAATAATGTTTATTCACCTTATTTTTTTACTGACCCGACTGTCGTAGTGGATAGTGTTCCTGTCTCTTGGGCCAGAAAGTGTGTGTTCGATCCACACCACTGGAAAAATATTGTGTGATGAACGTAGTGTTTTTATAGTGTCTAGTATTATCTTATATATTAACAGTATGTATTTATTTACAAAAGAAAAAATTCTTTATTAGTTCCCTACCCATACTTTCGAACATAAATTAGTACCAAAGCACAAACTTTGCTTAGTTTGGGACTAGATAACGTTGAGTAAAAGTATGTTTTGAAATATTTATTTACTTATTCGAATACAATCACATTATACGATTTGTCCGCAGGTCGAGTTATTGGGCTACGCGAAGTGAGGGTTGTGAACGACAAAGTGTCCATATCCAGACTCCTTGTCCGCGTCATCTCCGGTCTCCAGCTAAACATATCGCCGGATACAGCGATCGAAAACGGATATGTTTCGGAAACGACCGTTACCAGGCGCCTTACAGCTCAGTACCAGGTAAGGGCATAAGTTGAAATATATTCAAGACGTCTCTCATTTCTGACCGACAGCATACCGAAAGAATTACAAAAATTTCACTTTTGTGACCCACACACAGGTTTAGTACGAGCCCTTTTTACCCACTTCGCGCCTTCACTGGGTTAATCTTTCCGCTAATAATTCAATGTTAAAGTTCTGTTCAGGATCATAGATACATAACGATTTTGTGATGTCGTTTTACTTTAAAATAATCTACATAATGTAGCTAAATGTAGTTTTAGGTACCGCCGTGTTATACAACTTATTATTTTATAAATGTACTTGCATGTACTACATGTGCCTCCCCCACGAAATATTAATTTGAATTTAACTAAAGATTTTTTTTTATTAAATTCTATCAACATTATTAAAAGTTGAATTAAAACCAATCTTGTTTTTATTTTATTTTTATATACAGAGCTGGTAATTATCCAAAAAATCTTTAATGGTATAATTAGCTTCGTTAAACGACGAGAAAGCACTTTAAAATTAAAAAGAAAAGCTCTATAAACGCGCCCAAAGAACAAACATATAAAAGATGCCCTTGGCCTTCTGTAAAATTCGGAATTCAATATTAATGAGGTACATACTTTAAGCGAATGAAAGCATTTTTTTTTAAAGGGCTTAAATTTCTATTTTCTTTTATTTTTGTATCGCTGAATATAAATACTCACACAGTGGCAGGCATTTGCTTTTATATAGGCGAAGTTTTATGGATCTTTTTAAGCCCGGAGCCCAGAAATATCAGGCGGTTCACTGTTATAGGACGCGCTCGGGATAAGACTAGATTCCGCAAATTTCCCCAGAGAACCGAACGAATAGGAAAGTTGTTTGCAAAATTACTTTGTAACTTCGGAAGATACACGATTACTTTTAAGACCACAGTTTGAAATCTTTTATAGCCTTCGGTAAGTTAACTTAAAGACCGATGCGCATTTTTTCGTCCAATGTCTTCTCTTATCGAATACTAAACTCCAAAAGTATATAGATGTTGTAAAATATCATTAATGTGAATGCTATAATTTGTAATTAAATGACGACCCATCACCTATACAAGTTTTTAACATATTATTTGTTAATGACTTGCAAAATTATCATTAAGATAAAATCACTTCACATATACAAAGTACGACATGGAACAGTTTCTGAATAAAATTATTTAATGAACATATAGCGTGCGACCGCAGTATTCTTTAATCAATTTCCTTACTACTTTTAACATGGTCGTGAGCTCTGTAATAGGGCCTATATTATAATGTACGGACATATTTCATAAATATTATATTAACTATTGGAACAAAAACAGAAATTTGTCGACTATTGTATTTTCATTTTATATATATATTTTAGATATCTATGTTATTATATTTTTACATATAACATCACTACGAAGAATGGTAAGATAAGCAGAGTAATAAAAATGTTCGGACTATACACACGTGGAACCCATCGTTTTCACTCCAAATAAACAAGAGAATTGGGGCGTGGTGAAACATAAAATACTTTAGGGCGAACGAAACGTATTCTATAGTTTCGTTACGTTTGAACAACTCTGTGCACAAACAACAGCGTTCGAAACACTAATGTATTGCCCTGACTTGTTCGCGGTTTCATCTGCTACCGAATTCATTGTATCCAATGCTACGATTACGTTTTGCATGTGTTTTTGGCCACAATTTAAAGTATTCTGTCTGTTGTATGTTGTATAATAAACAATGAGTAGCATATTAAATATTATATTCTGTTTCATCATAATAACGCAGTGTCCACAGTATTTCTATTGTAGGTAACATATTACTGTTGTGTGTATTTCTTGAATGGTGTCTCATTTTTGACAAAACAAATCGGAGCGTTTTTTGAATATCATTAGCATTCGACGCTGATCTTGGAGATAGCAGTGTTACAATTAGCTAACTCCGTTCGGAACTAACAGACTGGCTTTAGCTGGTTCATTAGAGCTAACGAATGTGATGCAGGCACAGTTGCATTGCGCAAGAATGGTATTTAGTGTAAATGAAAACACATTTAGTGTAAATGAAAACCAGAAGTCGGGTGTGTTACGTAAACGGAAACATTGCAGGAGGGCCTGTTGGACATAGACATCGAGTTCTCGGATGGAAGCCACACGGCGCTTCGCGATGTTGCGGTATCGGATTACTATTTGCTCGTCGAGAGCCTCGATTCTGATGTTGTGGCGTTCGCCCCCATGTTGGCTTCGAGACATCCCCGCGTCATAGCTGTGGGAGAAGGTACGTCGCGTGCAAGTACAAATTTTTAGTGCAATAAATAGCTTCTTAAATCATTTGTTCAAGTTCATATGAAAAATTACATCTGTTGTTACGGTTTTCTATAATAATTGTATGGATGAAAATGAGGATCAAGTGGAATGCATATGACGCGAATTTATGTCATAAGTTAGGTAAGCGAACTTATGTAGCGGTTGCGTAATACTACGCGTTTTATCTATAACACAACACAGCGACCGTATTTAATTGATAGAAATTGTATATGTAGAATTTATATCATCAAATAGATACCTTTTTAATTATAACTTCCCCTTTTTATTATTTTTAATTTTATTCAAATTGAAATTATTTTCATCGCGAGCATGTATACCCTGTACAGAAAAATTAATAGGTTACTGTTCTAATTAATAAGCACAAGAAATCGACTTCATTTGTTTTTCTCAACAATGTTTTCCTATTCCTATAGGTTATACTAGCGTTATTATGCTTTAAGATTGATAATTAAGAAAAAAAGTGCAATAGCCAATAAATACATTAAAAAAAAAGCTATAAAGTAATAACATTGAGTGTTATAAAACTAATGTAATTTTGCTCATAAACAGGGTTATGAAATTTTAGAGTTAAATGAACGTGTTTGATATTTGCATGTTCCCTTGCGGTAGGTCAGGTAAGCCGGGCGCTCGCTTTAAATTTAATATACTCGAGCAACCCGAGTTTGATCCTCGATGTCGGCACAAATATTTCCAAGATGTGTGGGGCCGCGTGGTGTACGCCCTGACACTGTGTACTTGGCCCAGCAGTGGCACATTAATACGTTGACGCTATCTTACTGTACTCGCGTAGGCAGCGGCGAGCTGCTGCGCGTGACGCTGCTGACGCCGGAGCAGTGCCGCGCGGGCCCGCTGCGGCGCGTGGCGCTGCCCGGGCGCGGCGACGCGAAGACCCCGGCGAACATCAAGAGCGTGCCCGGCGCGCTCGCCGCGGCGGCCGCGGGCGTCGACGTCGACTTCGCCGGTGGCGACGCGCCGCAGCGGCCCGACACGCCGCAGAACGACGACATCATGGCGCGCGGCGGCCTGCGCACCGGAATGGCCGACCTCAGTGATGTACTCAAAGGTGGCTGTCGATGGTCTTTTTTTTTTTTTTGCTTTCGTTTTAATTTAATTTTAGACTTTTTCGACGTATCGTATTTTTGTTTGTCAAAATTTTTAATTGTTTAGATACAGACCTGTTTTTTACGGTACGGCATGTTATTTATATTTGAAAATAATGATAATTTCTGTGTCATTTTGACACATTCTTATGTGTTTAAATTGTAGATAATTGAGCAAAATTTTTTGGGGCTGCGGGATTATTGCTGCGGCAACTCTTAGTACTTTGGTTATTAATGGATGAATCCCTATTTTTCCAGGTTTCTCACCATTTAAAGATGAAAATAATCACGAACCAACAGTGCAGGCGCAACAATATGGCTCGATCTTCAGAGGCAATTCCGCGGTTCATCCACGCCATCAGCAACAACACATGTCACCAGTCGAAATTGGTAAAAACATATATATATCGTTTTTAAATCATGGTGAAATTACTCATAGTGAAGTTACTAACACTCATTTATTTATTCCAGGAATGTACGTTCTGCTTGGAGCATTTTGCTTCGCGATTGTCGTGAGTACTTCTCAATTGTACGTTATCTCACACAAGCTTGCTATAGTTCATCAACTTTTAATATTAATTCAGCAACTGAGTCTTCATTCATTACTTAAGAATTGCAATGACCTCACATTGTCATCAATAGATATACCTAGGAAATAAAATTCCACCTTTATTAGCATATATACAGCGTGTCGTTACAACCGCGACATTAAATGAATACACATATAGATGATAACTTTTTAAAGTTGTATTAAGCATTTACATTCTTTAAACATCAATATTTACCGAGTTATAAAATTTTCCAAAAAATATTTTTAGAACACCCTTACGTATAAAACTGTAAAGTAAAGTTCATTTGTAAAGGTCACAAAGCATATGAATGGGTTGAATGAATTTAAAAGAGATAAAACATACTGTTAGAAAGAGAGACTTGTAATGCGACGTTGTAGCAACGAATGAAAACATCTTTGAAAGTATGAATTAGTCAGCTGTAGTTGTATAGGATACAAATTTTGTTTCTTTTTAATTTAATTAGTATGTTTGAAAAATTTATTTTTAATTTTGGATTTTTATAACGTTTTATATTTTTTTATGATTATTGGCAAGTAGCGTTAGACGTGTGTTCATTATTGTCGCGGCTGTAACGACACGCTGTATAATAGTATTGTATTAAATATATTGATATTATTTTCAGGTTTTCGTAGTGTCTTGTGTGGTGTATGCATCTCGTCTGAAGCCAGCCAGTGCTGATGGCGGGGTTGTTGGAGGCCGATCTATGCCTGCAGTGGCAGAAGGAGGGAGGATACAAGTCGCTGGACTTGTTGGCACTACGCTCGGTCTGTCTAGGGATAAGCCGTCAAGCGAGTCCACTACTAACGCACATGATTGGGTGTGGCTAGGTAAGAATTTTTTTTTTATTCTGGCTACGTAATCCTCGAAAATAACACTATTTTGTGTAAAATCGCGTTTTCTCGGGAAAAATACCTATGTAATAAACTTAAAAAGCTGATCTAAATAAAATTGTAATAAGTAATTACCCAGTTTTAAATTATAACAAACGACATATTCGTTCGGATAACTTTATTAATAGTCCCTATTTTCCATTTTTTATTAATAAAAAACAAAATCGACTTTAAATATTTCACTCATATAAATTTTCTATTTGATGACGCGGTGATTCCTGATGAACCTCCGGAGTCCAGGTGAAATTAATACGGGACCACTTTACAAAGAAAAAACTATTTTCATACGCAATTAACGGTGAAATCGGTGGATATATCTACATAAAAAAAGATATACACAGTCGAACATAGAAACTCGTCCTTTTTTGAAGCAGTTTAAAAATCGAACACAGGTCGCGCGACGATCGAGAGGAACGGGAACCGGCAGCCGGCCAATCGCAGCGCGCCGCCGCCGGACAAGGGCAACAACAACCACGAGATGAGGATCACGTCGAACCCGCTCAACTACAACTACGTGGACCCGGAGGACGCGATCCGGGACAACGGGAACGTGATGGTGACGAGCTTCGACAACCCCAACTCCATAGAGCTGCCCTCGCAGAAGGAGAGGGGGGGGCGGGCGATCGACACGACCACGTACTGCAAGAAGCCGGCCAGACACACCCGCCAGCACTCCGGAGACGGTCATTGGCAGTAAGATTGTGTCGACATCATTAATTGAATGTTCACCGCTAGAGTACTACACGCTTATACATATACCACAAATTAGTGTTTTCTCTTTTTCGTTTTCAGTAGCTCTAGAGCTACTTCGATGTGGCAATAGTTCAATTTGCAACGTTTCTCAATTGAAATTTCGCACTCAGGGTGGATGCAGCTAATCCTGACGAGTACAGACCGCCGGTGCCACCGCACAGGAACTCCTCAGCTGCACAACCCCAGATACCTGTCCCGCCGCGAAATTCAACCAAAGTTAGTAATATTAATTAGCTATAATTTCCACTGATTTTTATGGTGATCTTTATTTATCTGACAATCTGCTACAAAAAAGTAGTCTTTTCTTAGCTATAGTGGAGAGATGGAAGGCCACACTAAGAAATTCTACAGGCGCGCACCAAAGACCTTGTTTGGTTAATTTATCTCAAAACTGAAATTTATGTTATGAGACTTAGATGGTCTATTGAAATAGCCTAGCTATCTCCGATCTCCCCGTGATTAAACCACACGAAAAGATTTATTGTTACATTCTTATATTTAAATAAAAATAACATGCTGTGAAAATTATATTGTAAAAATTATATTTTCATAAATCGATGTTATTATTTTTTTATTCTATAATTTTTTTATCGCCGTGAACTAAAAAAATAGTACCAAAGAGAAAGCATGTTAAAATTAATATAAAACACAACAACTATTTTTATGGTCCGCTGATATTTGTTTCAAATTCATTAAAAACAGTAAATGGCCAAACTTACACAGGATTGACAGCTTACATATTTGTAATATTAAGTGAATATTGTAGCCATTGCCCGAGACCGTCATGCCGCCATCACGACGAAGCCACTCTAGGAGCCACCACAAGAAACACGACCGCGACTCCGAACCGCCCAAAAGGTCACCCGAGAACCGCCGCACCGACCGGTAATGCGCCCACTGTTAATGACTACATAGTATAAAACAAAGTTGTCTCGCTGTCTGTCTGTCCCTATATATGCTTAGATCTTTAAACTTAGAACGGATCTTGATGTGATTTTTGAAGTTATACTTCTTTTGGCCTGTTGGGGAAAAATGATGAGAGTAAATTTTCACGATGCGCGCGCACGCCGTCACGAAAAACCGACACCCTGAAGTTAGCTAGACATCTTTATTCATGATATTTATTTTGTGATATTTGCGTTTTGCGTTATAATAAAAAATTTCAATGGTTTAAATACCTTTTTCTATTGTTAGTGTCGTTTTTTCTACAAACTTAGAATAAGAATAAGGCGAAAGAAAATATTTTTGAAAAGTTTTTATCTTCTTACACCAAAGAAGTATAACTTCTAACGCGTGTACATAAGTACACACACACTTTTTTATTAGATAAAGTTATTCAAGAGGAAGGTTTATATGTATAAATACATTGTACCCGTGCGAAGCCGGGACGGGTCGCTAATGTACCAATAAATAATTTGTTTATACGCAGTGCTATTATTCAAAGACAAAATCAAAGTTCTCAAATTTAAAAATTTCTTTATTCAATATAGGTTCATTTTATGCTCTTGAACGTCAAAAACTACCACCGGTTCACTGAACTAGACCTGTCCAGAGAAGTAGCGGCAAAAAACTATGCGATCTTGTAGTCTTATTTTTTTTAATCATATAGGTTTACAAACAACAACATGTTTATTTAAGTATAAAATCAGAAACAAGGGCACTGGCAAGAGCTTTAGAGAAAATGGATGAAAAGCTTTTCGCCGTTGCATTGGGTTTCGCGCCCAGACGCTTTAAGCACTAAGCTAAACGGGTGATTGCCTCCCTAACGTATTTTAATTATATTATTTTTTACGCATTTTATTCAATGCTTGGCGCATCTATTGTTATGTCCTTTACAGCATACAAAAAATTTCAAGTAACGTTTTACAACGAGAGATGTCGCTATTGCTATTTGAAATAGGGCGCATTGCGTCAATTGTTTATAACCCCCGACGTAATAAGTAGTTTTTTATAACTTCGAAGTGTCTGTCAGTGTATCTGTGTCGGTCTGTAGCATAGTTGCTAAAAACGAACGGACCGATTATAGGTAATGCTATTATTTTTGTTTGAAAGCTGCCGTAATCGAGATGGACCTTACATGTAATTTAATTTTTTTTAGTGTCAGCGGGTCGTCACTTAAAGTTTCTCATTTGAAATTTGAAAACAACAAGTAAATGCTTTCCAGGTGTTTTTGAACTTTAGCCAATCCGATCCCCATCTAATAACAATAACAACGCAACAACAATAACGTGTTCCAGAGTTATTGATCTGAATAAGACCGACGCGCCGTACGCCAGCCGAGACGCCAAGGACCAGTGCAAACGCGACCCATACCAGACGCAGTACCAGGACGAGCTCGACGACCCCGTGGAGAAGCTCACCGGCGAGGACTGCGCCCGCCTGTTCGAGTTCGACAACGACGCCCCCCTCATCATGGAGAACAAGGACTACAGGGAAATCGTCGGGCTCAACAGAGGCACCGACGAGTCCCGCCGCACCTTCTTCAAACCCGAGAGCCCCGACTACATGCATGACTCTGGAATAGGTAACGGAACTATTATCCGCATCTCACACCAAAGTTGACCGGTATTTAGTTAGAACCGATCCCCTTATCACGAAGACAAAGACAATAAAGAAATAGCCAGGCTAACAGAGGCTCAGACAAGTCCTGCCGCACCTTTCGTCATACCCGAGAGCCCTGACTACATGAATGACTCTGGATTAGGTAATGCAATATTATCCACATCTCAGACCTACGTTGACGCGTATATAGTTAGAACTACCCCCCTCATCACGAAGAACAAAGACAATAAAGAAATAGTCAGGCCCAACAAAGGTTCAGACGCGTTCTGCCGCATCTTCGTCAAACCCGAGAGCCCTACTACATTCATGAATGACGCTCGAATATGTGATGAAATATCCACACCACGGACGTTAAACGATAAAGTTAGATGACTCCGAGGAGCGGTTGCTATTGGCTTCGCCGGGGGTCGTAGGTTCCTTTAATAGGAGAACTAATTGTGCGACCCACGGATAAATGTCTCGAAATGTGTTTGTAAATCGTCCTTACAACACAAGGTAATGTTGTCCTACAGTAAGAGCAATGTTTAAAAAAAACGCATCATTAAAAATAGTAAATGAACAATTTTGTCATTTCATCCTTAAATTGTTCAAACCCTGAAATATGCTTAAATGTGTATGTCTTGTCATTTGTTCTATCGTTTATAACTCACGAATATAAAAACTTATACTTAGTAATAATGTATTCGATAACATATTAAGTAATATTAAGTTGCAAATATTAATGGCATCGTAAAAATTTACAGACATTTTATCTAAGAATGAATAAAACTTTCGCAATTGGCAAACAGTCGCTTCTTATTATGAATCGTTTGATATAGGAATATTGTTATATTGCATTATAAAAGAATATTATTGTTCACAGGCCTACCGGAAGTGCAGATGCGACACAAGAACCGACCCAAGGAATCGAACATTAAGGGAGATTTCGTTGAACCAGGCACTCAGAACAAAGGTGGGTTGAGTAAAGCAAGGATAAATTATTCATATCACATAATTTCTTTAATGTATATCACATAATTAATCAATACTCACATCTAATTGCATAAAAATAAAAAATAAACTTCTACTATCCAGATAAAAACCTTGACCAGTTTCTTTTTCATTTATCTTTACGCATTATAATCCAACATTCAACAGTAATTGTTCATAATATTAAGTCTAAATATCAGGATTATCAAAATATAGAAAGGTCAATGATAGGAATCCCCTTAAAAGCAATGAATATAACCCAAGTAATTGAAAAATTTTGTGATATACATATATATATATATATATATATATATATATATATATATATATATATATATAGTTGAATCCGGCCACGCCTCCCTCGGGCCTTTTTTTCAATTCTGTTAGACCTTCAGAATAAAGTATGCAAAAATTATCCTGTTCAATACCAATGTGAAAAAATCTCGAGTCAATACATGGGCTTGTTTTTATATACAAACGTATTTAAGTTTTTTTTTTCGAATACCGATGTATTCGAGTAAAAAATCTTAAATACGTTTAAAGTTTCATTCGTTAGTGATAAATCTATCGATATAGATTTATCAAAACTCATGCCTCTCAAACACTCACCTGCAACAGCAAAAACAAGATAGGTGAATGCCGAATGTTTATTTCATTTATATTTTATTTTATTTTATTTCGAACTTAAAATAAAAGCTTTCGTGAGACATTTTTAAGAAAATAAGACGGGCGAACACACGTTTAATCGATGTATGTACCTACTAGTTACGGACCCATCGGAGGTCCTTCGTCGGGGTAGATTGTGTCTACGTGTTCCCGTGTCCCCGGCCAATCCGACAGAGAGGTTTTTAAAAAAAAATTCTGGGAGTCCCACTTTCCCCTGCCACTCCATCCAGTGGCAGGGTTAGATTAAAAGAAAAACGTACTCCATCGGGGTGAGTAACAATGGGCATAACTCAATGGTACACATCGATCAGACGTGAGCTCGGCCGTCTTGTTATTTCGTTGAAAAAAATCACCGAAAGTCGACGCGCCATCTGCAGGCAGCGGCTCCCCGGAGGTGAAACGCGCCACGGTGGTCGGCAACCCGATGTACTCGCGCACCTCGGCCGACGCGCCCGCCGAAGCGCTCGGACTGGACGACCTCCACATGGACTACGATCAGATCATGCACTATTTCCACAACCTCAAGGTATAAACCGCACCGTCCCACCACGCTTCTAGTGTAGACGTTGCTGTGTCGCTTGCGTCGATACGTCACGGCGCGCACAACTCACATTCTTACCCTATCTCGATGTTTGGTGTACTTATGAACGTTAGAGCCTGAATTTTGATGCATTTAATATTATATTAGCATAGTGTTTTATATGACTACGTTTTATACGAATATACATAATTGCGCCCTGCAGTATTAACTCGATAGGTAGGTAGTGTCGCTATGGCCCATTTTTTATTAAATTTAAGCGTGTGCCTAATTACGCAACGTTCGGCGTACTTACAAAAAATCAAGCCATCCATTAATTTAACCATTATCGTAGACAGCTAGACAGCAATCGATTACATCACTAGCATAGACAGTAGAATATGGACCTCACCGAACCCGTAAAAATAGACTTAGCAACAGATATCTGACTTTTAAAAATTTTTCGCAGGAATCAAACGCCTGAGTAGAGCAGATCATTGCAAAGATCCGGCAGATATTGTCTACGTTTAAATATCAGCGTATCATCAAGGCTTCTCCAATCGACGTATACACGACCACTGATACGTCCGGGGTAGCCGGGTACGAGGATACTACCGTTGACGAAGCCAACAACAACGCCCATTCGTCCATCGACACGCACATTTACGAGAACCTAAACGGAGGCCAAAGAGTCGCACCGACGCAAATGCTCTGCGACTCGATCGCTCACAAGAACGTGTTCATGAAAAGGCAATTGACATTCTTGCTGGAGCATCTGAGCGAGGCCTACGAATGAAAAGTTGTTGACGGTCATGGTATTATCCTCTATACAATATGTGTCTAAAAATGGATCCTTGCAGTGATCGAAGTCGAAACTATACAAATGTAAACTGTTTTATAAATATAATAGCGTTAAACGTATTTACTCTAGTCATCTACAAAGCTGCACATGCTATTTATGTATTTAATGATGATTTGTCGTGTGCATCTAGTTAATTAATATACTCGTTTGTCATTAATTTAATGTTAGGTAAATGTATACACGCGGTTTTATTGTCTGTAAATTGATGTTCTTATTGCGGGCTAGTTATTAAATATCAAGATTATACCTACCTATTAATATGCGAGCCTATAAATGTTGTCGCTGATATTATTCCCATACCAAATACAAATTTTGCATTTTTCCAACACCTGTACATATTTTCCTCTAGAAACGGTAAAAACGCTACCTCACTTATATGTATGTATGTCTTAACTTAGAGCTTAGCCAATACTTATATGTATATTTCCAAACGTGTATTAAATAAAATTATATGAATTTCACGTGTAAATTATCAACTGCGGTCAACGCAGTGTTTAATATGATTTTCTTCATTATAACATTTAAATAATAGAATAGGTCTAAAGACTGCATAATGCCAGTACTTACTTAGAAAATTGTTCATAATTAGTATTACTTACATAGAGAGTAAAAGAGGGCTAGTCAAATATTTTTATCCCCGGGCTAATTATTTGCTCAAATCTTCTGAAAAAACAAAATAACCGTATCTCCTAAATAAGCTTACTTATGGCTTAACAACATTCCTTCATTATTACCACCGCGTTTTCCATATATTTACTCTATTTTATATTAAATAAAAATTAAAATAGGCCTAGTTAGAAAACATTAGATGAGGAAAATTTAATCCTTTCATTTCAATTATATGTATACCTGAGGCTTTGTCAATTGTCAAATTACAACTTTACAAATATTATAATGGTCTTATGATGACTGCTAGGGATTGATTTTTTAAGCAGTCGATTTTATAAAAAGAAGCCATATCAAGTAAAACATAATGCTTGTATTATAAACATGTAAACACTAATATTAATTTATTGAGAATGTAAATTGCATTTATTGGTAAGTTAGCTCCTTAGGCTTTGTAAATATTGTTATGACGTTATATAATTTATAGGTACTCATGTGGACGCGACAGTGCAAAAAATAGAGAATATTTGTGGTAGAGTCGCTTGGTATAATATAAACGGCGTAGAGTTGCACTCAGTGAAATGGTAAAAAGTTAATGTCTGTTACAAATGTACACTTAATGGTAAATGTTTTGATCTTATCTTTGTGTAATGAACAATATAACGATATGTAAGTATGAACAACTAAAAAGACGTAATTTAGCCAGTAAGTTGAGCGGTTCTTGAAATCACTTAATATTTTAAAGATGTTAAACTGTTCAGCTTCAGTGTAGCAAAATTGTTGTAAGACTTCATATTCCTTAATACTAATAGCGTTGTTTGGCTTTCGTCGTTAGGTTAGAGACTAATCAGGATACAGTAATTTATGCTGTAGTATTTGTTACTGTAACACTTGTTTTTGTTGATTTTATGCAATAATATATTAAAAAGAAGTTTATTAATATATTTATTGCTACAAGGTTTATATACATGTATGCAAACTGAGGCTTGTCACGAAAATCCTTTCATAAAATGTCAAATATAATAAACAATCATTAAATAATTTCTTGTTTTATTTCAATTTCTTTGTCAAGGTTATTATTGGATATTGGGATTAATTTTTATCGCAACCGCACATAATATACATTGTGTTAAAAGTCCACTAATGTGATTTATGACTTTTAGTGAATATCATTTGATGTTAAAAGATTACTGTACACATAGAAATACAGAAATACTATTCTGATAATGTCTAAGACTGCACCAACTATATGGAGGTTACCCCCCCCCCCCCGATAATGCACTCACCAGATTTAAAAAAAAATGATCATTGAAACTTCTACTTTTGGAGTGAGATAACCAACAAGATCCTGAGGACGTCTTCGAAGAATTGAGCCACTTCGCATAATCCATATTAGCGGTCGCAGACAATGTCGTTTAATTAAATACCATTCGGTCCACAGGTATCATTCACACCCAGCCTTTTTAAGGCTTATAGGACCGCTCTATTTGTTAAACTTACCACTACCATAAAGGTACCACAATGACGTAGTGAAGTCGGCATGACGTTGCCGGAGTTTAGACGTGAAGCGCAGGATGAGGCTTTTAATAAAGTGAGCCCCGGTTACCTCACTCACCAGACGAAACGCTGAAGTATAGCCGTTCTACTTCACACCGGTCGTCTGTGAGATCGTGGTACTTACCAGGAAGACTGTCTATTCGTGCCCTACCGCGTATTTTATATTATAATGTATCCCTAACTAATATTGAACGAAAGAGGCACACAGATCGACATGCGAGAAATGGCGATTTGTGTAAGGTCCCTTTTATTAAAAGCTTTTTGTTTAGGGGGCGTTCATTAATTACGTTAGGTGACTTTAGAATTTTTTTTACTCTCACTCCTCCCTGGTGAGCTTTCGTGAGATTTAGCTCAACCCTCGTCCCCTAACCCCCAATCTGACGAGAGATTTTTAAAAATGCATATAATTTATAAATCCATCGGAAATATTCTAAGAAACAAAATTTTATTTACTTTATATTTTTTATTTAAGACTTAAGTATTTTATTTATTTCCGAGTATGTAGACTAGAATTAGAGTGAAAACAAATAAAATACTTTTATTTTTTACTTTGAAGTCGTTACTACTAAGATTTAAATCGTCACTACTAAGATTCATAAAAGAATATTCATTCTAATTCAGTCCACGGAGAATCGTGCAGTGCATACTGTATATATAATACGCTACCCTACGGGTGTTGCAAAAGTCCATGGGCGGCGGTTATCACTTAACATCAGGTGAACCGTCAGCTCACTTGCCACCTTCTCACATTAAAAAATAAATAAAAAAGATAAGATTAAGTAGTTATTTAATGCTTATTGTGGCAGAGAATCTTTAGGCCGCTCAGAGTGCGCTCGTTGAGCTATCTCGATGCGTCTGGTAGGGCCTTGGGGTGAGAAGAGTGTCGGTATTGCAAATAGAAGAAGATGAAACGTTTACAATACGACGTTCTGCCTACAGGGACGCGGCCAAACTCGATTGGTAGACGTAGGTATTATCCAGTCCATTGCCCACCAGCATCCATAATATAATTGGGCTCTTCAAAGAAACTGAGACGCTAACAACACATGTCACTACGAACATACATAAATACGGTCAGCACACTGATTAAAGTTGTGCTCCAATATGTAACCAGGATAGTTAAGGTATGCCGCATCTAAATGGCTAGATGCCCTTTTACGTATCCGTCTGCTGCTTACATTTGCGTCTCCTTAAAATTGTGTATTTTTGTCGATAAATGAACAAATATTTTCGGCGCTCAACTGGTGAAAGACGTGCAATTTTAATGGGAGAATGTGCAACACTTTCATCCTTTTATTTTGTAGTCATAAATTAAAAAGGCGTGAATAGGATGGAGATGGCAGTTGAGTAAGGCTTTGCTTTGTTAAACCAACAACGAAGCCCGAGTCACACTGGCATTATAAACAGTTTCCGTGGAGCCTTTGTGCGTTGCTGGCATAGGGGTGTATATGGCAGGTGGGCCGGGTGGGCCCTGCCCGCCCCAGTATCGTCTAGTGCCCACCCCAGGATTTTGGGTTACTGATTCGGAATTCTAGACTAGCTTCTATACTAATAAACTTCATAAACATCATTGAAATCAAATAATAATCTTCAGCTGAGAAATGTATGTACATACTTAGTATTTATTACATACTATTTTATAATACATTCCGTTGATTTGCTTGTGAATAGACGACGTAGGTACTAACTACTAACTAGTTAATAGTGCCATTACAAATTAGTAAAATTTATTAACGACGACGAACTGCTGTCATCCTCTAAAAGGTGTTGATTTATTTTTCGCGGAATGGTTTATAAAAATTAAATTGCAAGGAATATATAAGCTTTTAAAAATCCAAAATATGCAATCTGCCATCCTTGTATTTAAAACAAAAATTTATGTTTAAATATTATTTTCCAGATTTTAACTTTTTCTTAAATTTTTTCAAAGATGAATTGGCTTTTCATTTTTAAGTTTCTTTGCGTCATTTGGGTACGCTGCTTCTTATGGTATGAGTATTATCGCAATAGCTTCAGTAGTCTTCGCAGCAAAATCAAACAAAAACCAACCCTCCATTTATTACTATATAGTACCTGGAGGAACGTTTTTTTTTTTTTTTTTTTTTTTTTTTTTTGGCTGGATGAGCCACTGTTGGTCTTAGGGGCCTTCACAGATCCGACGGACTTGAGGTGGCCTGGCGCACGAGGCGCCTAGCCTGAACCTCGGCGTACTATTATTACGCGTTATGGTGACTAAGCTCGAGGGCTCCCGGGGGAGCCTCGGCTCGGGCCGTCACGCTATTATTGTTACCGGTTTGGGAGGCCGCCAAGCTCCTCAAGGGTCCCCGAGAGGGGACCTCGGCTTGGGCTGTCACTCAGCACGCGTTTAGCATTCCGATTCGAGGGTGCCCGAGAGGGCCGGACCTCGGCTCGATCGGTAGCTATTATCTGGCTGGAAGGAGGAACGAACTTTGCTGCGTTTGTTTTTTTTTTTTTGGTAAATCGTGTGTTTTGGAAATTACATTTAGATAAAAATTAGTGAGTAATGAAATATGCATAATATTTTTCGATCTTACCGACGTAATAATAAGAAAATATGAACTGTTGTTTTTCACAAAAGAAAGAACCTTAAAAAAAAGGGAAAAAAAGGACAAAATCATCTGGATCGACAAAAATAAAAAAATAAAGAAAGCAATGATCTGGAATCGGAAAAAAGTAAAAAAAGTGTAAAAATGATTGTGACACGAACCCCGGCCTTCTGTTTCGGGGCCGCCCGATTATACTTTTTTTACTTATCAATTTTTTTTCCGTGAAATTTACCGTCGTATTCGAGTGACATTTTTCATTTCCTGAAAACTAGGATTAAACGACATTTTTTAAAAATGAAACCTAGCCAGCTCGATATTTCATTGATCAAGAATTGCTCATTTAAAGGTATAAGATATAATTCTATAACCTATCAATTTAAAAGCATATATACATATTTTTTTCTTTTTTATTATCACTCAGAAGATCTACTACACATTTTATAAAGTAAAATTTACTCATAAATATTTCCCATGCCATTTATGATCAAATGGTGAAAGCATTTTATGGCATCCACCCATGTTATTTTGAATTATATATTTTAATGTGTAAGGATTCTTATTATTTTCCTCTTTCCATTTCTCATCATTTTCCATTTTCTCCAATATTTCTTGTGATACTGCTTTAGCTTTAAATGGAAGCCTTTCAGCCACAATTTTCAACATCTTATGTGCCTGGTAACAATACACAGAAATATAGCATATTTATGATATTTACATTCAACAAGTATTAATTTGGATTAGTACTTATCTTCTTGTATTGAATTATTATTCACTCTATAGCCTGGGATCATAGAATGGGATTAAGGTATTCCCTGACGTTTGTAGAAGGTCATTCAGTGTTCATGCACAGACAAAGAGGGGCTTTTATCAGCTATTTTTCAGGAACCAGTGAAGAAAGGGACACACACTGATCTTTAATTGCCCAAGAGCAGAAAACAGCAATGAGATGATTAAGAAAGATGTTCACAAAATGTGAGCAGTAGGTACCAAGAAGCAACAATGTGTTTGATACAACATGCACCGAGCACCACTTAACAAACTGCAGGTGGCCACTTAGGAACTCTTAGAAGGTAGGAAACCACATATAAAATTGCCTGTCTCCAAATAGACCAAGGATATTTTTTAACAGTCTCCTCTGAGGTACCAAAAAAAAATAATATAAGTGCTAGCAAATGACTACATCCCTTTTTTTTTCTAAAATCATTAATAGTTGATATGAGAAATTCCATCTACTCTTACCTCAGCATATTCACATTTACCTCCCACTTCTAATATGACTCTGCCAGCTTTGATGGGAGTGACATAGTGGTCAATTGCACCCTTTCCTCCACCCATTCTTTGACCTTGGCCTTTTTTTGTGATAGGCTGCCAGGGTGGATCTACTCTCCATATTGCAAACATCCTTTTCATATCCAGATGCCGCGCCACAACCAAACGGGCCATTTCAAAATGCTCATGAGCTAATCGTCCACCCCCAAGTGCCTGAAATATATAATTGTTTTAGAGGTATAATTTTAGGAGATTATTACTTTGATATAGCAAACCAAAAAAAAATTAAATGATAGGCAATATAGCAAGTGTTATAGCGAAGTGCATGGAAGAGTATATCATAATTTTTTAACATAACTTATATTCCATAAATTCTTTGTTGATTTTATTCATTACCCTATTTTTTGTTTACTATATCAAACTAGTAGCCTGCTAAAATTTTACCAAACTTACAAACAAAACCAATGTTACTTACTATCACACCATATTGCTTTAACTGTAATTTATTATGCAAAGGTTCAGGACCTCTCATGTACCTTAATCTTTTTTGCATTTTAGGAGGTTTCAAATTTGATGGATATGTTGGTACCTTTTCAAACATGCGCAACCTTGGCCGTTCAGGTATTTCAATATCTGCAAATAACTGACTATGTTGAATTTTATATCTTATTTTCAATAACAAGTAGAACAATAATTCCATATGTTCAAAAACAATAAATTAATTAAAACAATTACAAACCATCATAGTTTTTTGGTGGTGGGAAATACTTTATTCCAAAAGTCGATGATAGTTGTACACATTCTGGTTGTAAGAGTCCTGTGATACAAAGTAACAATGGTCAAATGATTCTAGCATTAAATGTTAAAAGCACAAAGTTTTCATAATAGCTTGTAATTATAATATGGTAGATAGAACTGAATTATTCGCGAAATTTACATTTCTGAAAACTTGGAATATTTCTAAATAAATAAACCCTAAAGAATTTTAGTTTACATTATTATTAAATTAAAGGTCTCTTCGCAAAAATTTGGGTCAATTATTTATTATAAACCATAAATAAACAGACTTTAGAGCAATAAAATATTATGTGTACATTAACATTGCTCTATTTAGTAGCCGACAATAATTATAAATAAGGTTGATTTAATAAAAATGTTTAAATTTAATCAATATGCCATTAACTCCCAACTGCAAACATTAGACAAAATTTATTGAATGCTTTTGTAACAATATAAATAAAAGATACATTTTTTACACTAATAAAATTGATACCCTTCTTTGATATCTCAAAGTGTCTTAGGAGCAAAAAGTAATTCCTTACCAAATGAATGTTTTATTGTTCGAACCAACATACCGAAATATTATCTTTATTTATTATATTAATATTTCAGTTACAGCTGATGGGAAATGGGTATATAAAATTATTTAAAAAATAAATTTTCAAACATAGGTTAGAATTAGAGACGTACGCCGGTTTGAAGAAACCGGTGAAAAAACCGGTTTTCAACAGAACCTGTTAAAACCGTTTTATTAAACCTTTTAAAAAAAATTGTTTAAAAAAATATTGCTCCATCTATCACTTCATACGACATCTTAAGGTTATACAGTGTACCTTATAACATGACAAACAGAATGGAAATCTGTGACAAGCAAGCAAGCACTTAGATTAGAACATATTTTCGATATACTCGACGAGGCCACGAAACTCGTAAGTGCCGACAAATACCCACTCAGCTCTAAAGTAATCCCTATAATTCATGGACTTTAAGAAAGCGGAAAGCCTGAATATCATAGAGCAAAATTTAAACACAGATGAAGGAAAAGTATTGTTCCGGTCAGTAAGGTGCAATGTGAGCTCTTAGCTCTAGGTTAATGTCAGCATACTTACATCAACCAGATAATATGCTGTCCGCCAAAGAGCTAATGCGGCTTGAACTTGCAAAATTAATAAAAGTGACTCAGCCCCCCGCTCTGATGTAAACTACAGCTGAAAATCAGGAGTCGAATAATAACAAAAAGAGAGGTCTTGACTTCTTACAAATGCGTAGGAAGACATTCCAAATGCAACAGCCTCTACATTAAACATTCTGCGAATTTATTTGGAAACGTATGCTGCTAAAGTAAGTACAGAAGACACTGGCACCTTTTGGGTTATTAATATGAACTTAGGGCCTTTAAGTAAAATTGCGTTTAAACATTTGTCGGTGCCAGCGACATCTGTACCTTCTGTGAAGATGTTCTCAACATCTGGGTACATCCTCTCTTGAACAAGACCGCTATTGGATGACGCTGTAGACCAGCTCTTTTTCTTACACCAAAACTATACTTTATTAGAATAAAGTTTTTTTTTAAGTAATAAAGCACTTTAATTACACTCACAGAACCCATCAAACTCCTATACAAGTTTGCACTCACATAGATCATATAACAAATGTCTATTCTGGTCGCTGTTTCTCCCCGTGCCGTACCCGCCGTCTTTGGGCATCGTTTCTTCTGTGCAATAAGTTTTTGTTTTACCGAACTTAAAAAAATTACTTATAAAAACAGGGTTTTCTTTTCAAGTAATCAGTATAAAAACAGTGTGGAAAAATTGTAGTCGGTTAGATCTCTGGTTAAAATTAGAACATTAGTATTTTTAATTATTGACAAAGGCCCAACAGAACTTAAAAACATATACTTATTTTTTTAATGTGAAACTGGCAAACGAGCTGACGGTTCACGTGATGTTAAGTGATAGTCGCCGCCCATGAACAATTGCAACACTCGTAGGGTTGCAAATGCGTTGCCACATTTTAATAAAGTGGGCCCCGGCTACCTCACTCACCAGAAGAAACGCAGAAGTGTAACTTCTACTTTATGCCGGTCTTCTGTGAGGTCGTGGTACTTACCCGGACGGACCTGCCCATTCGTGCAACAGTGAACACTGTTGCGTGGCCCTATCACCGTAAATCAGCTGGGTAGCCGTAGTTAAGCCAAACCTTTAAACGAGCAATTCTTGTATATAATATATAGTCGGAATCTCGGAAACGGCTCCAGCGATTTTCATGAAATTTAGTATGTGCGTAGATTCGATCTAGCTAGGTTTCATTATTAGAAAATGTTCTTTTATCCCTGTTTTCAGGGAATGAAAAATATCATTCGAATATGACGGTAAATTTCGCCGCAAAAAAAATGTTATAATAGCTCGGCCGGTAATCGGGTGGCCCCAAAACAGACGGCCGCGGTTCATATCACGATTATTTACATACTTATTTTTTTTCGATTCCCGATCATCGCTTTATTTTTTATTTTTGTCGATTTGGTTTGTTATTTTTTCCCTTTTTTTAATACCGCCGCCCATAGACATCTGGTCAATGGGCGGCAGTATTTACTCAACATCACGTGAACCGTCTGCTCGTTTGGCAACTTTTCACATTAAAAAAAAAACAAAAAAAAACAAGCAAGTGTACTAAATTGATAGTCTCGCTTCTCACTTACGTAATGTAAAAGTAAAGTATCAACCTATAGGTGTCCCACTGCATAGTCCACCACGCAACCCCACTATGGATTGTTAGACTTCACATATCTTCGAAATATATTTTTTTTGGTATTATTTAGAAAATATGCAGGTTTTCTCACGATGTTTTCTTTCACCGCTGAGCATGTGATATGTTAGCACATAAATTGACTAAATATTTTATTGGTGCCATCACCGGGGAACTTTCATTATCAGCGGTCGTGTGGATGCAATACAGTGGACGACGCCATTACGTCGTCGTCGACAACAAGCTACGTTGTTCTCCTGAGTCTGTGGGTCCTCAGTCTGCGGACTTCTTCCGATGAAGCTGTCAAAGCCGTAGGGTTAAATACAATACAAAAAAAAATAATTCCCGATTTACTGAAACGCCCGGTTTCTGAAACACTGACCATCGTAGAATCAGCTAATAGGCTGTCAAATGGATTTTCAAATATTATTTGAGTAGCCAAAAGCACTGTTAAACTCTCTGAACTGATCAGAATGATCTTCTTATTCTTAATGACCAATTCAAAGAGTTCAACAATAAAAATCTTTTGGCAACTCAAATAAAATTTGAAAATCCATTTGACAGCTGGTTAGTTAACTTCTGCGATGATCAGTGTTTCTGAAACCGGGCGTATGATTACCAGTTACTAAAATACATCAATATTGCGCTTAGGTTACTTAATGACATAATGGTATCAAGGAATAGAGAAAACAAGTTTTCTTATTTATTATACTCTGGAACTGGGTTTTTTTTCCCAGATAAGGCGACATCAGACTAATATTACATGATTCACATGTTGCGCTAACTCCACCTAGGTTGCTTAAAGATAGGAAAATGATGTTTTTTTTGTAATAAAATCTACTTTAATACTTTTATATTTTGTTTTGGCACCAGCTATGTTATTAAACTAACTTACATAGAAAACTTACCATTCAGACGGAGAGGTAAAAAGATTTATTCTCTTTGGATTTATGCCAAATGAACCTCCTCCATAATTCGTAACCACGACAACTAAAATTACTTAAACAAGGTATAGTCTACCTAGTTCTTTGGTAATTTGGTGGAAAATTTTTCGAATTAAAAATAACAGTATGAAATATAAGTTAATGCTTCATTTACAAAAGTGCTTATTTTTTCATGTTCAAATTTTTAGCGTTTGGCTGATTGTCGAAGCTTTCTTCTTATATGTGAAGGTACAAACTATTATTTTGAATTTGATACTTAAAATCATTGCTACCACAATTGAATACATTTTTATTACCCACAACTCTGATTAAGTAAATTGAAAATGATCATAATATTTTGTTACTTTCAGGTAGATAAGTTGGGGCACCTATCAAAATATTTGTCTGTAACAGTATATACATTACTGTTTCTTGTAGAGTTTACACGAGTATATTTAGCTCAATATGGAAATTTGTCATCCAGAGTAAGTATTGTTTGACAAAAAATTGTAATTTATAGATCTGATCCCACCCCAATCCCACCTTGATGTGTTTGTTTTTTCTTAGATTTTATAGGTTCATAAATCTGATTAATAAAGATGGTGACTTCTTATTTAAAATATTTTTCTACCGCCGGTCATCATCTCATGTCCGTTGTATAATGTCCTTTCCAACGATGTGCTAGTACGGTATCCGTAAAAATCTGAAACCTAAAAATTAAAGAAATAACAAAAATAAAAGTATTTTGTAACAGACGTCATGGGTTCAATAAAATTTGTCTATGTAATTTATCATTTAAGGATCAAATAAATAATGAAAATTTTAAAATAATAATGTTCTGATCGAAAAATGAGTAATGTTATTTGTATTTTGTCTCTCATAGTTTCCCCAAAACTTACTAATACTATTAATAAACTGACAAGTTGACAACACCGGCTAACCAGATTATCCTACGAAATAGTATAAAATATCGTGTTTTCTTAAATTAATAGTGGTTAAATAACAAAACTTATCGATGAAAAGTGATCTTGGTATTATGATACGATTTTCCCACATAATTGCGACATAATATTATCGCACAAACCGGCATTATTATTTTTCATGAGCACGTGAAATGTCACTGACTTATGTGAAACGCGGGTTACCAATTTTGTGAATTTTGAATTTTTGATGACATTTTTTGCGCCGTTTGGTACGGCTAATGGGTTATATAGAAAAGTTTGGCTATTAATTTTCACCATGTTTATGAATAAGAACGTATAGCAAAAATGTTTTTACCGTTCATTTTCGCCTTAAAAAGGATTTTATTGCTTTTTTATTTGAACTCTTACAATCAATTGAATTAACTACCAACTGCAGCAGCATTTTTTTACTTATTCTACAAAAGAAATACTTTTAAAGTTTAACTTCTTGTAACTTTTCAGCCGAGTAAATAAATAACTGGCAAAATATAAAAAAAAATGTATTTTAGTAATACATTTTAATTCATCTGGTATCCTACAAATATTTGTTAAATGATAGAAAATATTATTTTATACAAAAGAAATTAATGTTAGGTCAGTAGGTACCTAACATTAATTTCTTTTGTATTCAATATAATATTTAATAATGAAGTCAGGTTCATAGAAAAGTATTACAATTAAATATATTTGTTGTTTCAGGTCCCTGAATTGGCAGGATTTCTTATGCTTACCATATTAATGGAGTTGCCACTGATTGCTTTCTTCTTATTTAATCCATTTCTGCTAACTACGCCATTAGAATACACATTACTAGTTATTTTATGGTCAATTTCCTTGTTAGAAATCATACTAGGTTTCTTAGCTTTAAAACAAGCATCTTCTGTTGCTAAAAGCATTTATTTGTCACATACAAGACACAAGTGAAATTTTTATTGTAACAAAATTAATACATTTCACATACATTTGTAATTTGATCATCATAATTATAACATATTTTTATGACAAAACATTGTTCACAAACGATTTTAATAAACAAAACTTAAAAAATTAAATATAAGAGAATGTATTTAGTATATAAGTTATATTCTACATGGTAAATTATTGTCAATAACAAAAAAAAAATGCTAACTTTGGACATCTGTGACTTAATAGCAGTTCCCAGCACCCCAAATTTCTACGGTCAGTATCTTATTCTAATTAATGTGCCAGTATCAAATATAGCTTTATGGTAAAATATGTTTTTTTAATAGAATTTGGTACTTTCAGTTTTTGTTATTAGTTCCTACTATATATTTTTCACGCTTTCTTTGACTTAATAATAATAAATATTATTTGACTTAAATTAATGTACACAATCATTATTTATTATCAATATGTTAAATTACATTTTAATGGATATTTATGGCAAAGCCGTCATAAATACTCATGGTGTTTATTACAATGTCTAACATTACATAGCAGATTTTTTTAAATAACATAATATGTAATAATCATAAGATTAAAAAGTATGTGTTTCATATAAAATTATACATTTTTAAAAATACAATAAATACTTGTCATATTTAAATACTATTTCATAGCCTCTTTAGTGATTTACACAGCACCTATGGTAGAATCTTAGGCAAATACATCTTCAGTTAATTTTTGGTATAAACCTTTGTGTGTGTCATATTATAATGAGTCATTAAATAAACATTGTTTTTCAAAAAAAATATCAATTTCACATCTTACTACATGCAAAGTTTTATTAAAATTAGATAATCTTTTTTCAAATTCCTCAACTCGGTGATCAACATTGAAAGAATTTAAGATTTGTGGCATTGTTGGTGACATTTTACAGATGGTCTGAAAATATAGAATAAGATATGGTTACTCACATCACACTAAACGGTCCATGGTTTATCCAGAAGATATAGTAATTTAAGGTGTCTTGTACACATTTTATATATTCTACTAGCTTTTCGCCCGCGGCTTCGCTCGCCTTGAAGCCCTTAAATAAATATCTTTCTTTAACCTTTCAACCCTTTACAACACTTTTTCCAATTAAAACAGCCTAAGTCCTTTCTCAGGGTCTAGACTATCTGTGTACCAAATTTCATTTATATCGGTTCAGTAGTTTTCACTTGAAAGTGAGACAGACAGACAGAGTTACTTTCTCATTTATAATATTAGTATGGATAATCTATTATAATATAATACTATAATAAATAACAATAATGTTGTTAAGTATTGAAGTAATTAATGTTGTTAAGTATTGTAGTTAATTCCTTTGAGATTTAATTCTGATGCGAAACAACTATCTGTGGTTTACACAAATAGTAGTCCCGTTTGGGGATTGACCCACGACCCAAGACGCCGAAGCCAATATCTTGCCGACTGAGCTACGGAGTCATCATCATCATACTGATTTTCTTCCTTACAAAAAGGCATTTTTCTTGAATTGTTTCAACGAAACTCATTAAAAACAAACAAATTTTTATGTGAAAAGTTGCTAAACAAGCAGAAGGTTCACCTGATGGTAAGTGAATACCGCCGCCCATGGACAGCTGTTACACCCGAGGGTTAGATGCGTTGACAACTTTTTGAAAATTGGGCTCCCGCTACGTCACTCACCACACGAAATGTGAAAGTATTTGTCATACTTCCACTTTACGCCGGTCTTCTGTGAGTTTGTGGTACTTACCCGGATGGGCCTGCCCATTCGTGCAACAGTCGAGGCTGCTGCTGGTAGGTGGTAATGTTACCAAGAGGCTAAAAAAAGTTATAAATAAAAAAATAAATGATGGAACATGGATTTTTCATATTTTTAGTTTCTCTACCGATACATCCATTAAGCATAACCAAGTCTAGCTGCCACGTCCAGCCCAGAAAACGTAATTAAATTTGCTTTGGCACATGTATTATAATATGTAATGCCCAGATGCCTGAACTGGGATCCCATGTGCATTACATATAATACATGGACAGTCAATGTGTTGAGATACAGAAATGATTCATTTTTGTTGTATTTAAAGCTAATGAAATAATGTTTAAAAAATGTTTCTAATGTTTCTTTAATGAAAAATAATGTTTAAAAATAAAAAATAATGTTTCTCTTTCAGTCTGATAAAATTATTAGTTAAATTGAAATGATTATTAATTTTATTTAGTTAACATAAACAAATATACTCATAATGTATATATGAATAGAGATATGCATATATGAATAAGTAAAAAAGTGTATATATTAAACACAATATTAATTTACAATTTTCTTTAATTTATTTTTTCTCGGATAGGCGGTTATTTCATTTTCTACGGTAGTTATTCCTGCTTATTTTTAACAGACTTCAAAAAAATTTTTTTATATGTGTTCGCGTATTACTTCGTCGTTCATGGGCCGATTTAGATGTCTTTTCTTTTTTGGATAGGGGATATCCCAAGGGTGGTAACCATGTTGAGGAAACCCGGATCTGGTGAGTGCATCCCAGAGAAATCGAGGGCAATCCTCAAATGTTATAGGTATTAAAAATGTTTATTATTAGTTTACGGATTGGAGTCGTTTTTTTTTTGCTAAAAACTATACTTATATAGGATCTTTTGTTTTAAAATGTGAATAAAAAAGGATGAAAAGTTTTCGCCACTGTGGGAATTGAACTCACATCTTCATTTTAATTGCTCATCTTAATCACTGAGATTAGCACTATTAAAATTTAAATTTTGTTTACTTTTTAGTAGCAATTAGTGATAAGTCACTGTAAACTATACCACAAATATGATAACTTAGTTTTTCAGAAAAAATATGGAATAAAAATGATGGAATTTAAACTTACATGAAATAGTTGTTGTGTTATCCAGTTATGATATTGTTTAACAGAACCTTTGTAAGCTGCAGTAAAGATGTTTTTCATGTTCACATCATACTGTTTTGCCTTCAAGCATAACAACATTTCTTGAAATGTTAGCTCAAAGAATAGTAAAGCTCTGAAAAATGATAGAAACGTGATGAAAAAAAATGAAAAGAAATAAAAATTATAGAAACATGTAAAACCTAAAATAATATTAACCTGTTTAATTACACAATATTTGAACCTATTTCAGTTTTAATTCCTAAAATCATGAAATCATGTAGATAATGTGGCTAACACCAAAGGTAGCGGGAGGTTTTTTTGAGGTTGGGTTCCTATCACTGGAAATATATTGAGCCATGAACATAGTTTTTTACTGTTTGGTTATACATATATGTATATCTATATTAAGAATTTGTTTAAAAATAAGAGTATGTTGTTAACAACTATAACACATATGAACTAGGAGTACTAGGAAACTGAACATTTATGAGTTATTTAGTGCTTTGCTTAATTTGGATTTCCGATATTATACAACATGTACTTTTTCATGCAATTAAACCAATTTTGAAAACATTTGTGTCAACTCTGTGGTGACCTCATAAACATGTTTTTCATATTCTTCAACAGCCTCTTCTGGTGATGAAAATAATTGACTGCGTAATTAGTTCTTAATTTTTGGGAATAGGTCTAATCGTGTGGGATCCACTAAGAGCATAATACTTTTTATTGCTTCACATAGCTTTCTCACACCTAAATGTTTGTGTAGGATTTATAATATTTGACTCATGCCTACATCTAAGGATGTCCAAATCTCTGTCTCATGGTAGGTCACATGCTGTCTGCTTCAAATATACTCATAGCACACAGCATTGATGTTCTTCTTGTTCACAGCAGTGGACAGGTGACCGTCACAAAGTTCGTCACTGACATTACTATAGTCATCTGGCATGGTGCTTCATTACCAAAAGCAGTTTGAAGCCGAGCAAGGCTCTGCTGAACTGTCAAAATACAGTTAAAATCAAAGAAATAATATGAAAATTTTCCTGAGTTAAACTCATTCCATGTTAACATAGACATGCAATTTTTAAAATGGTGCCTCAGTGTAAAAACAACTGACAGTCAGATGAAACAAACTGCACTGTAAGGCCAAAGAGTTCCATTTTCGAATGTTGTAATTACTTTTAAAATATTATTTATGTAAGTGGCCAGTTCCAGAAAGTTTTAGTGTGACCTATGTATAAGCAAAAATATGTTTAATTTAAATTGTGAACTCTCCCCTTCCCTTAAATGTATTTCTTCGAACTTTTTGAATATGTCATTCAAAGTCATATTGGTAAGTATAAATTTAAAAGGCTTAAGATAGTAAGTAAGTAAGCTTGAAAAAGAATTTCAAAGCTTACATTTTAAATTATCGTCTTATATGTATTATGTACCTAATTTATGAACTTAACTCCTCTTTTTAGTTAAATAAATTTATCTAATATAATATTAGATAAATTTAATTATGTTCCCTTTATCAGCAAAAGTAAACAACAAACCCCACCCTCAAAGCTTGCTTATTTAATACTTGAACTCAGTACCAATTAGGAGTTTACATGAAACTATGTAAAAATAATGTCCTGGAAGGTTTCTCAATTAAAAAAATATAGTAATTTTATTTATTTAGTACATGAATAAGCTGATTAAATTAAGTAATATGAAATTTTGTATAGTTTAAGTTTGTATTTTAAAAAACTCAAATAATATAATTTGAATGTAATAATAAGTTACCTGTTAAGCCATAGCACCCCTTCTGCTGCAATAGGTTTTCCTTTTTGGACCTCTTCAAGCATTAATTGAAGCAAACAAGCGTCTTCTTCACATCTGTAATGCTTTTTAATTTTCTAAAACAAATAAGTTTACTTCACTCTTCATATTTTGCTAAAACCAACAAGCTGATCTTTGTACACAAAAGTAAATATTAACTTTGAATATTAAAAACGAAAATTGAATTGCCTTTGAATATTAACATTTTACAATGTATAAACGGGCAATAATAATGTAGGAAACAACTTCTTTATTATTCTCTACTGAATTTTATGTTTTGTATAGCACAGATACATATGTTCATCTATTTTACACAAAACGTAAATCAACAGAATTTACTTACATCAATATTTCCTTGCATATCATGTTTTACAGGCGCAAATACTTTTCCAAGCCGATCTGTAATAGCGCTTTGTTTTTACATTTTAATTCTAGTAACGGTATTCAAGTAATATGAAATATCATACCGATTAGAACCAAAAGACCTGATGTTGCTTTCATAAAGGGCAAAATACTAATTCTTCCATTTACAACTGATGGAAATAAATCTAATTCCTCAAGAACAAAGTTATTTGCTATATCAGATGCCATTTGATTATATAGTTTACAAAAACAAAGGTCCTTGTGCAAGTTTTGTAAGTACTACAGCAAAATTTTGAAGAAAAGGTTGTAGCTGAAATGTTAATAATTACTACATATTATAATTAATCGAGGCAAATTAAATGCAAATGTTAAAAAACACTTCGTCCGTCAATGTCAATCCAATAAAAATAAAAAAATAAAATACATTACATAGATGTCGCATTATTTCAATGTTACCAAGTTATATATTTTTTCGATTAAGTATTTATGATAGATCTTACTATATATTAAAAAAAATCATTACTAGTTTCATTGACATGAATATCATGTTTATAAATGATTGCAAATCATTTAAAACATTGCTAATTGAGGATATTTAATATTCCACATAAATAATGTAAATAGTAATAATAATTTCTACACTAAATAATATGTATTTTAAAATTACACACTATACAATGATTTACATAAATAACTTATTAATACAGCGCAGTATGAATTTTAAGTTTTAAATAATACTGTTTAATTGTTCATACACTGAGTTATTACAAAACTAATAAACAGACATTTAAACCTCTAAACAAATTCTTTTTTATGACAAGAATTTTTTTAGAGGCTATTCATATTTCATTGACATATAATGCTCTTCTTCAGTTGTTGTAGAATAATACTGAAGGGAAGTTAAAGTATTAAAAACATTTTCCACTTCTCATTTAATTTTTAAATATATGTCTTTTTCATTTTAGTGTTCAATAAGAAAATGTTTGTTTTAGCACATTTCCCAAGTCATCCTCAACCACTATTGTTAAAACTTTACTTTTCGGGGAAATAGTAAACGGCACTAAAAATCTTTTTTCGGGCAATGGATTCGTAAACTCGTAAGAATCTAGCACCATACCATTTGATTCGTCTCTTACTTCTACTATTCTTATTCCAGCTGTGGAAATAATCATCATTTTATTTTTATCGAATTTTAGGTATCTAGTAATTGCTTGCCTTTCTCTTCCATATTCATTGTTGAACCATCTGTGATACGATAATAATACTGCACAATTTCGACTCCAATAAACCGAATCATTGCCATTAGATCTGTTTAAATTTTTTCGTGACTCTGATAGCCTATTAGTAACACTTGAATAAACACTTGACGGTCTAGTTATTGGTGTAACATTTGGACTTCTTCTCACAATATCTGATTTCGACATGGAAGCAAAGTTTCCTAATGTTGTTTTGCTTCTTGGTCCTAAGACACGTAGTGGTTCTGCCACATTCATGGTTACATTAATATTGCGTTGGAGAGAAACCGTGGAATGTTGTACTTGCTTACCATTGAAGTTGTTCATATTATCCTTTGTTATAGAAGATCTTTTATCTCCCACCAAAATTACACGATCTATATTATCGAAACCTCTCCCCATAATACCATCTTTTGTATGTCCAAGATCAAAGGTATGTCCCAGTTCATGAAATACAGATCCTAATGTAGTGGCGAAACACCCGCCTAACGTGCCTCGATATCCACTATCATCCATAAATCTATGAATGTTAACAGGAGAGCAGTCCAAAAATCTTGCTACAATTTCTTCTATTGATGTGGGCCACGTATACAAACAAGCCGTTCCAAAAAGTGCTAAACCTCCACCTCCTAATGCTGCATATGCTTCAGTTAAAGCCACAATTTCATCGTGTGGCATCGGTTTGTCGATATCTGTGCCCTTGTATCTAGTACAAGAAATGAATGCTAAGTATTTCCGTTCATTACTACCTATGTCAGAGAGCATTATTTCCCTTCCAAAATGAGTCCATAAATCCCCCTGCTTCATTTTCCTCGCTTTGTTGACATTAAGATTACTTCTAAACACTATGCATTCAGGTTTTCTTGGGTTGACTTCATGTTCCAGTTGGAAAGTTTTGCGCCCAACACCACTTTCATATAGCTTTTCAGCTGTAATGCTTTGAATTAATTTTGAACCGACAGCTATTCGCGAGCATGCACTTTCAATAGAATTATCTACTTCAGGTGGGCTTTGAAAGCAACCGTCATGACCTTGACAAATAATATATAAAGGAGTCACCCTGAAATTAGTTTTCCTGGGCGTATAATCTAAAAGTAATGTCTTATGGTGGTGTTCAGCATAGTCTATCTCAATAATATTTTCTCCTCTTTTTAATTCTACTAGAATTTTGAATTCTCTGTTGTAAATATCCCAGTGAGAAACTTTTTGGCCCTCATTGCTTCTTATTACACATTTCAGCTTCGTGTGGTTGTTGCAATCACCTGATGTTATTATTCCCCTAATTATAACAAGGGAATAATTCACAGTGTCTCCATTTTCAAAATTTGTAATAAAAATTGCTGAGCTTTGATTGTTTTTATTGTCTTCGTTTATTCGGTTGTCCATTACCTGTAAATTGTCACACGTCGGGTGGGTTAATGAGGCGCTCATTTTATTTTTCAAGTGGCTTCGTTTAGTCGCGAAGTTTATTTTGCATTCTCAGTTGACATGGTAATTAGGTTAAGCGCTCACGGCAATGATGTGTATATATAGCCTTACTTTTTGGCTATATCATACGTAAGCGTTCGGTACGCATTATCGGACAGTGATGGAAGCGAATGCGTGCAGATTAGTTTATCTTAGAGGTCGCCATAAATGAACGGTTTAACACTTAGCAATGACTCACCATGATGCGGTGAGCGTTGTAGCGAGCAGAACCGGCGCGGCGGGAGGACTGCGGGAGCGGGCGGCGCGGTGTGGCAGTGCGGCCTCTCGCCACCGTACGCCGTCCGTCGTTCCTCCTCACTTCCCTAGGCCGATTCTCGTACAGATGTAGTGCGCATGTCCGTCGGTGCAGACCGACGCGCCTCAGTAACGATTATGCACGTCCGACTCACAGACTGGCTGTCTCCAACGGCACGAGGGAAATTTGAATGATGCTACACAGGAAAAACAAACGTGAATGCGTCACAGACTATGCCTATGTCAGAAATGCATTGTTTGTTTTGCTCTCAAGTTATTTAGGACTCGACTAGATACTCTATTTTTATAAGGTTATATATAAGATACAAAATAAAAAGAATTGTATTGAGCTATGTCATGAGAGATATTATAGCTTTTTATTGTATTGAATCATAGGATTGAAGCAGAAATTTATTTATGTCTTTACACTGTTGCTACTGCAAATATTGTTTCCAGCCAAGATCTAAATACCTACATGCCATGTCATGGTATGTATGATACATTACGAGGAATTTATGAGGTTTATTTTTATTTATAACAACCATCAAAATGAAAGTACTTTGTACATAACAGTAGACTGATTTATTAGAAAATCATTAAACTTTTTTAAATCGATCAATAAGCGCCTGATAAAAAGCTGCTACATACCGTAACTATTCTAATTGCGGCTATGTAAAACATTTCTTTTTCCCAGGCGAGAAGAATTGTCGATGTGGTCTCAGATTTCGTTCTTATTTTTTTTGTTACCATTGCAGGATTGTCAAGTACCAATATTAATAGAAAAACACAGATTTCTAAATGTAATATAAAAAGTTATGTTGCAGAAAATATGCATTAGAATCTTATACTTTTTATTTTAGTTTCGTAATAAAGAAGTCTTTTAAGGCATTAAATATCACCAGAATGTTTGACAATCATGTTAGGTCATCATTTACATGTTAACTCAACTGTTGCTTCTGCAGTTCACATGCTTGTTAGGCAAATAAGACGATTACAATCAAAGACAACTAAGCAGCATAGCCTCAAGCACGTTTCCCAGCGTTACTGTTTATAATGTTTTTGGCTCAGAATCTTCTATATTAAGAACTGTTGTAAACTAGTACTGTGTATTAAGGGTTTTTTTTCTGTTGCAATAAAATGTTGTTCTAAATAGTGATAGAAAATTAAGGTTGTGTTTAAAAATTTAATTTAATTGATGATAGAAAGTTCATTCGAAATATTAACATATTTCGTGCTGCAATTCGATGACCCTTACTGTAATAAAAATGTCGAATTAGCAATAGTCCAGCTAAAAAGCTTTTATTACTCTCGATTAAACGAAACTAATATAGCTTACAATCGTGAATGACCAATATCGAAATGAAGAAACCTGTATTTATAAGATATAAACCTGTATCTATCAATGATATGCGACGGGATACATACGTAAACATATTTTTTTACTTTATAATACATATAAGGTTTCTTAATACCTTTTTACCTCTAATACGAATATATTAATTCTTTTATTGCGTACTCAGGCATACCTCAGGGCGCTATTTTAGTACAAGTGCCTTTTCGGCCGACTTCAAAAACCGAGCAGGTTTTCCATTCGACTGTATTTTTTTTTAATGTTTGTTACCTCAGAACTTTCAACTTAGTGAACGGATTTTGATGATTCTTTTTTTTATTTGAAAGCTGGTGCTTCCAATGTGGTCCCATATTAATTTTAATGGTATTGGATCTTAGGCTCCGGGGATACGTGGGGAACTTCTGAAAATCAATTATAAAATGAATACTTACACAGTATTATAAGATATTTGAAGTCAGTTTTGTTATTCGTTAATAAAAACATTGATTTGTTTCATCAATGATGCTATCAGCAAAATAAAAACAACAAAGCTTACCTGTTAGCTGAAGATATCGCTAGAAAACAAAGGAAGCTTCAATCTGAATATTTCATAGCAGGTAAAAAATTACAGAAATTGGTATTTTTTTATTCATTTGTTTGAATACGGTATAAAAGATTTTGAATCATATTATACATTTCCATTATATTCAGCCATGGTAGAAAGGAATAGGCTAATAATTCGTATTATGATGGATAGCAAACTGCGATTTAATGACCATATCAATAAAATAATACCGAATGTAAAAATCTCTAGATTTTATTTCAAAATTTTTAAAAGATTTTAAGAATGCGGCTACTGTTATTTTACTTTAGAATAGTAATGTAAGAAATAAGCTTTAGTACCGTAGCACAGTATTGTATCGGAATTCAAAAGTCTATATATAAACAGAAATGAAAGTTTCCAAAAAACCTAGTTCACATTTAACATATCATTTTCATAGTTCGAGATCTTTTAAAACGTACAATGATGAACTAAAATATTTTAAACTTCAAATGCTATCGATACGCCGAGCTCTTTATGCTTCATATTCTTGCATAAGCTAATGAATGATAAGATTCATTGTCCTTTGTTAAGCAAATCCTCGTAGGTTCTGCGAAAACCATGCGTTTTATTTAAAAAGAAACTGTGCAGTACGTATATACTTACATACTTGGGTGTGACTCTCTTGTAATCCACCTATCCCGTGTTTATAATGAAAAAGAAAAACAAAACACCTGATCTAGATATTCATTTAGAGTTTAGACAATCTCTCAGGACCAAATTAATAACTTTGACATAAACCTAAAACTATTTGGTTATGCGCAAAATTAGCAGAACTTATGTTACTTCAATTCAATAAGTAAGTAAATAAGTTTAATTTTTTTTAAATCGTCGTCTATGGAACTTTTTATTTTCTTAATTATTAATCTTAGAGTGAGATGATGTGACTTTTAATTGTATCAGTAGTTGATAAGATTTTCGCACAAATGTTGCAGAGACTGCAAGTGTTGTGCCTTTAATTTTATAAACCTTTTTATTAAAGTATTTCAAGTTCACATATTGTTTTCTTGATTTTTCAAGTTTTTAAAATTAATATTAATATTCCAGCAGCTGTATAACGATTGCTATTTAAGTAATAGTATAGTAAATTCAGAAACTTTACGAAAATGATTAAGTCAGAAGAAGGTTAATTCCACAGCGATTATTAAAATTGTTATCTTCTGGCAGTTTACATCCTGGCAACTAAAACAAAAAAAAGCTTTCCTATAAAAAGATTCTGCTTTAACTATAAAAATGCACGATGTATGTTTGATAATACAGTTACGATACGTTATATCGACAAAATAGATTTTTGCCAGCCCTAGAAATTGTCCGAAAGATAAAAATACGCTGGTATTTTCCTGTTTAACCTGAAGAAAATCAAAGAGAGACAATGATATAAAGTCCGTCTTAACATGCGTTAACGTGAAGATGGAGAATTGTTAGCGGAGTATTGTCCGTCGGACGGCCGTCGTTTCGCGATGTGACGTAGGCGTGTGGTGATGGACCGGGTGCAGGAAGTGGACAGGGCTGGTCGCGGGAGCCGGTCGTCGTCACAGTGAACGCGGCACTTTCGCTTTTATCGGCGAACGAACCCTGGCCATTACTACCGCACACACGGTTACACCATCACGCGGCGGGTCGGTTTTGGCTACGTTTGTCGCATCGGTATGCATACTGATGGCGATTTATTTAGGGTTGTGATTTTTAGATTTCACCGAGCCACGTACTGGCGGTTCACCGCTGCTCGTTTCGTTTTGCGACGAAGCTTCGTTCGTTTGTGCGGTCGTGCTGTTTTATATTTAGGCTTTGCATTTTTGTTTGTCTGTCAATATCACAATTTGAATATTCATCATGCGCAACTTAATTGTTACAGTAGAATTAAAACTTGTGTATTAATTTGAGTAAATTATAAGAAATAAGATGATGACAATTGGCCTAGTGAGTCTCTTGCCCCAGATGGTGTGGGTTAGATCCCCACTATTGGAAAAATATCCTCACTATTGGATGAACATAGTGTTTTTCTAGTGTCTGGGTGTTTGTATATGTATAATATTAATTACAAAAGAAAAGTATGCTTATGAGTTACCTAGTACACATAGCTTAGTTTTATTAGGATTATATAGCGTTGTGTAAATATATTATGTACTTACCATAATATTTATATTTATATATTACTTATTATAAGAAAGAATCGATTAAACTTCTGTAGAAAAACATTCATTTATAAGTGGCGATCGCGAGATTTTTTTTAATTTGAATTATTTAACATTTTTTTAATCATGATCTTTTACACAATATTAAAAAGTTAGTCGCAACTCACACGGCTTTGCGAACGCCCCAGTAATGGACGACTGCGTCACATATTTTATGGTTCACTTACGTCATATTAAGACAGGTCAAGAGTTTGTAATATTCAGCTGAAACGATCATAATTATATTCCTACAAACTGAGCCCACTGATTACGAAAAAAAAAGAAATAGTTCGACTTTTTGCGTAAGGACGTGATTTAACGACGCTAGGATTAACCAAATGTATTGTGTAACTAGTAATAAAATCAAGTTGATTTATAAACACTCAGGAAAAAATCCTATATTTCTCAATACAAAACCATAAATTTTAATGCCGCAGATATATATTTTATTTGAAGAATTGCGCAATCCTTAGGTCAACGTTCGTATAACGCGTTTGTCGGCATGATATGTGCGTTTAAGTTATTTCCATAATATTCATTATATTATATATGCATGTATCGTCCTAATTATTAATTGTATTTTTAAGTTTTTATTTTGGAAGATTCAATAACCTTTGCTGATATATTTATCAGCAAATGTCGTTGCATGAATCTTTATTGAGGGAGAAATATTTTAGCTATATATTAAATTTATTATTGGCATCATATGATGTATGGTGCGATAATATATTTAAAGACGTATAGTGAATTTTAATAACGTTTGAATTGAACACATTGACCTAGGCTACGCAGTCTCCGGTTAGGATAGTGCGTGCAAGGCGTATCAAATATTCCATGCAGAATTAAAAGCCTTGCTAAATTTTAACGTTTCATTCCATACTATAAAAGCATAATTAATAAATTATGATGTAAATAGGATGTTAGCATCACGTCTCTCTATTGCCATGCTAATTAATTCACAAAACGTGACAGATGGTAAACCTGTCGCTTTGGACAGACGCAAATCCTAGAACGCTGTATTTGCACATAGGAAATACGAAAATGTAAAACGCTTAATTTTACTGTTTTGGGAATTCGAAGTCAGGACCTTCAAAAGGACTAAGGAAGGAATCCTTAAAGAAGGCAAGTAAAATTATCAGTTGATAAAATATTACCAATTTTATACAGCATATCTTAGTTTGTAACGTTTAAAGCTAAGATTAAGCTTTGATGTTTACCACGTTGGAATCTTTTTTCTGGTAGGTATGAGCATTGACGACAATGCTACCCAATATTTGATTTATTGCTTAAATTTGGGGTGCATTTCAAGGTATTTTTTAAGTTTGGATGTTCTCAGATCAATTAATATGGAGACAAGTATGGGTAAATATATATAGAAGCAAATAGCCCCTACAGTCGTAGGGTCAATGGATATGAAATAAAAATTATCTTAAATCGACGCTAACACATTAAAATACGTCAGGGAATCAAAAGTTCATTTTCATTGAGAGTTGCATTGTTATGTGTATTCTATATTGCAGTAGTTTTGCAGGTAAATTAAATAAATTATGTTTAAAAATTTGTAAAAAACCGAAGTAATTTTATACGTTGAGATTTTCGTGGGTGTGAAAATAAGCTGCATAGATCAGTGGCTAGAGACACAGGCCTGTATCCCGGAGGACGCAGGTTCAAATTTTAGCAGCTACGAAAGATTTTTCATCCATTTTTCTAGTAATTTGTAAATTTCGTGTCTTAAGCGCAGAGAAAAGTACTAAAACAATTAATATAAGTAATTTAAAAAAGAAATTATATTTCTTACTACGTAATATTGCTTCAATGTAGAACCAATTAACTTAATAAACGTAGATACATAATTTATTGTTTGAATCAAGAACTTAGTTCAAGCCCTTTTAAATGCGCTTTCTATCAGATAATCTCCAGTTCTTTCCACACATAATTTATTATTTCTATTTCCGGTGCATATAAACGGGCGAACGAAGGGAGCTTTAATTATTCCGAGGATGCTGGCTAACTGTTTTTCATTAGCCAAAAGTTGAAGAGAATTATTTGACATATTATATATAGTTAATATGTGACTTTCGGCCGCAGTCCAAGTAGCAGTACAAATCAGTGTATATTGCGCCAGCAAGCGATTTATCGACCGTTTCAATTCAGTCAAATAAGGAAACCCCCATCAGAAGAAACACGTTTCTCCCTTCATTTTAGGGCTCCGGGCGTACGAAATAGCTAGCGCGAGTTCGTATCGACATTTCGAAACGCTGGGCTTTGTTAATAATAATGAAGATCTGCGTAGTTTCATCACAGTGCGCTCGTTGAATAATAACGTCCGGTTGAATGAACCATTGCATCGTGTCCTTGTTTTCTGTGATTTTCCATGGCGAAGCCGCGGCACGTGTTCAGTAGCACAAGTACCTACGGCTCACGTGTCTTGTACAGCGTCTCATTCGAATGCAAGCAAACACAGTGAATTAATGCTTGATTAGAACCCATTATGTACTCGGACTGTGGCGCAGCGCTTTTGTAAGGACATCTATGAAGTATTATAAGAAGTAGTCAAGACTGCTTAATAAAATACGCGTGAAACTATATTAGACTAACGATAAGTTTAGCAATCAACTATACTAACTATTTGAAGATTTGAAGATACACTTTTTAATACTATTAAAATGATTTATTTCAACCAAGGTGTTAATACGCATACACAGAAATATGATTGATCGAATTTTGGTAAATATCTAATTTATTTTCTAATTAATTTCGTGTGAAAGATTTACCTAATGGTTAAGGATCGTTGACGTAGAAAGATCGCTAGATGAAATACAAAAGTATTAATATAAAATATTAAATCTATCAAATATTTAATCTACGACGGACTCCCGAACTAGTCTACTCGTTAATGCAATTGCTTTAGATGCTGTATACGTAATAGCTCTGTTGGATTTACTAAAGAGAAATTAATGATAATTAAGTTTATGATGCGAAATTAAGTTTTCTTAATTTAGAAAAAGATGAAGTTAAAAGCTTACTGTAATAATTGGTTAACGATTGTTGTAATTGGGTTAAAAACTTTAAATGAAACTCGATAATAACTGCTACGGTGCATTTTTAATAGTCTTCTGAAGATGAGAGAATAATGTGAAGAATCAATGTCGAAATTTAAAGCGAATTTATATAATTAAGTAACCCTTTAACACCGTAGCTTTAGCACTAGAATTCAGTGTTAAAATGTTTAAACATTCACTATTTTATTTAGTTTTCGTTTTTTTTATTTCCGAAAATGTATTGAGAACATAATAATTATGTTTTATATAATGTGTAAATATATATATATATATATATATATATATATTTAACGTGTACAAAAAAAGGTAAACAGTCTAACGGCAAGGTCAGTTCTTGATGAAATGCAGTGTTGTATGTGAATGAACGGCCATGTACCGAGTACAACGGCTAAAAGAATTGTATCTATTACAATCTACTTGTAATAATTGGACACAGCCTCGAGGCTCGTTCGCTTCGCTATGCTTTTAGTGGAATAGTAGAGCAGTATTCTGTTATTTTGAGAGATACGGTCGAGCATTTTTAAAATAATATTACGTAGCTGTTCTACGCTGCAGTTGAAAAAAATAACTATTGGTACGTTTACTATTAAGCATAAAAGTATAAAGTAAAGGAAGGATATATTTATAATAAATTATCTTTTTTTAGATTGTTTTTAGATTGAAAAGTAATGTTTTTGGGTAATGTTACTAAAATATGAATAGGTATTATCAAAAGCACCTTAGAGGACCGCGCTTTGCTCGGTTTTTTTTCGTAAATCATTATTAGGTAGATCGATTTTTCGCACCCGAATCTACGAACATACTAAATTTCATGAAAATCGCTGGAGCCGTTTCCGAGATTCCGATTATATATATATATATATATATTACGTAAATTTAAAGTATTCTTACTGTAACGTACCATATATCTGTCTTATTCTACGTAGTAGTTAATTTATATGAATAAATAAACATCAAAAAATACTTTGAAATTCCAAGGGTCGATATAGTAACAACGATGTACGTATAATCTAAGACGACAGTTCACAGTAACAATAGGTACTTACTTACCAACAGGTTGACCTAATCACACTGAGCGTTGAATATCCGTTCAAGAAACTGACCACACATACTGAATATGAAATGCAGGCAGTTTAATGTGTCACTTTTTGTCAGAAGTAAGCATTTTCGACTTCGGTCGTTGACCCTAGAATTGCGTAGGCTAGCTACTTTCTCTTGGTGTTGGGGCAGAGCGGTGCGCGGCGAGCGAGGAGGGAAGGGGGTCCTGCCAAAATAAGTACGTGAAAGGCTGCATTGCCATTCCTTCGCTCAGGTGTGAAGCTGTTGCTAAGCGGGGATTCAGAATGAAGTTATTACGAGATCCGCTGTCTAAAATGATGATGCGCGCACGCAACGCGCAAGCGCGTGGCTTAGCAACAGCGGCCGAGTGGCCATCGTCAGAACACACGCATTCGATTGACTGACATTAGCGTTGTGGAACGTTGGCGCTGGCTCAGAATTGTGAGCATCTTCGTTGATCGGGCCAGGCGGGGTCGGTGAACTCGGGACTGAGCTGTGACAGTCGCGAATCGGACACTTTTGGTAGCGCGGGCCCAGGTGCTGTCACTCGCGCTTCAAAGAGTTGTATAAGTGTACTTTGGCACTTTCTACACCTTGTTATCAGAATGAGCAAAGAAGTGAACGGAGAAATTGCCAGCGAGTAACGGCCCGCGCAGTATTAAAAATAAAGAAATTCAATAAAAAGAGAAATGATAACCATGAACGTTTATCGATGAATACTGTAACGTCGAATAAATGCAGATAAAGATAAAATGAGTGTAGTGAATAGAATATAATTTAAAATTTCAGTCATTATAAAATACATCTGAAAAATGCTGAAAGCAAAATCCTCTTATTAAAAAATGACCTCAAAGGCGTTCGAGTTTAATCGCCTAAGTCTTAATTATAAAAAGATTTTAAATTTAAATAAACGAGACACGTTGCTCACAAAAAGTATATTTTATTGGGCTATTTGCCTTTATATCGTTTTATTCTTTTACCTTACCCTTGATAAAATATTACCTTAGTGAAATGACGTCAAAAGAGGTCTGAATTTTTCTTCACAGGAAGCAGATTCATACCTCTTATAACCATTTTTTGTCCGTCTTTCCACGTCCCAAGGACTTTTTTGAATTGTATATTCATTATAATTAAAAAAATAAATATAATAAATTTAATTTTTTGTGACGTGTTTCTTATGTTCCTAAATGGAATTGTATAGAGGTAATCGTATTTCGTTTGCAGCTTATCGTGATAACTACTTAAAAGCTTTTATTATATTATCTTGCATATTGCACATAAAGGTGGCGTGTTTATATTGGATAGTGGTGTTTATTCAATGGACAAAACTGGATCATAATCAGCATTAAAATTTGACGAAAACACACACTGAAGAAAACGTTTTCATTTTTCTAATTTTTCTACTCTTGAGATTATTCTCTTGAGTTCATTGTATATCTGAGACTTTCATATATAAAAAATCAAAATACAAAATATCTTAATGAAGGTTTTTTTATTGGCACAAAAACTTCACACCGTCAATAGCCACTAAATACAAAAAACGCAGTTCATAAACAGAGGAGCAAAAGATACTTACAATATTATATTAACTATCGATATTATTATTTGATAGATTACATTTGTGGACTTTTTTCGTTAAAGACGAAAAAATAAGTATTCAGAAAAAATTACGATATGCTTACAAAATGAAATTGTCGTTATCGGTAGTCGATGAGACAGGGCGTGTTACTGTATGCGCAGCGTGGAGGAAAAGAATTGTGACAGAACAGTCCTGACCCTGCATTACGTTCAAGAGGTGTTAATGAGTGGTTTAAGAATGATTTGTATACCGCGTGTGGTGTGCACTACATACGAATTTCGATCACGTTGTGTCCCGTACGTAGTTGAGCATTGCAGAAGCCCGCGTTACGAAAAGCGCCGCCCGGCGCCACGGGAATACCAATCGGCCCGAATTGGGCGGCCCGCAAAGGTCGGAAACAAAATTATTTATAAGAAAAAGTTTGCGAAACGCCCACCTAAAAAGAGTTGGCACATTGAACGTGCTTACGGCGGCGCGTTCTCTCTTTTGAAGGTTACCAGCCGAAGCTGGTGCGTGTGTGTACCGTTAAAATGAAACTGTCAAAATTTGAAGGACCTAGTTTAACAATGGCAACATAACTGTTGAGGCGGATGAACGAAGTGGCACGTGAGAGTTGAAGTAATAAATTGCAAATTGAAAATAATCGGATACGTAAGTTCCGTCGATGCGATTTCGTACGGTAAATTAATTTGGTTTCAATTAAGGACTGAATTGATTTTACTGTTTATGATCTCTCGTTAAATAACTGTCGGTGCAAATTGTCTCTATTATTGTAGTCGATACATTTTCGCGAGGGCGGGGTCTACGCGGCGTAGTCGGACGGTCTACGCGGGCGACGTAGTAGACGGCAGCCGGCGCAAGCTTGCGGTTGCCCGGGGTCGAGTGTCGTATTTCTAGAGCATTGAACCTCTGCAACCTTGTGCGTTGAGCCCGACCGCTCTCCGTGCGCTGACGCAACCGCCCCAGCCCCTTCTCCAATCCGGCCAATCGTATAATTACTCCTTTAGGGCACACCTATTCTTAAACGGCCACGGTAAATGATATCGGTGCTAGCGCTAATCGAATCATGAAAGGTTGAACTTAATTGGATGCACGATGCTCGGGCCACGGATTTGCGCAATGCGCGCAGATCATGATGGACCACGCTCAATCGGATTTTTCTCGGTACACCGCCACAAACGTTTGGTCGTTGATTAATTGTCTATAGATATATTAGCGATGGTTTAAACGTGTCGAACGCCCAATCGTGCCTTCGACGGGAGGTTAGGCTAGTTTAAATGTCAATTACGCCGCGCAACAAAGCAGTAAGGCGGTCAAGAAGTGTCGAGCCGCTAACGAGGCACGGGCGTCCGCAAATAGTCCGCGAGAAGTGCGAAACGGCCGCGGGGCTACAATTGGCGCCTGCCCCGCGAGCGTTGCGAGGTGACGCTTACGTAAACCGCTGACATAACCGAGTCGACGACCGCTGCTTGCGCAACCACCGTAGAACGTGGGGTTGTACGCACCGCGACTCCACATCGCCATCGCTTCACCCCAACACAGGAAACCACTTTATTGCCTTTAAATAATATCGAAAGGACACCTGCGCTATTGCCCGTGTTACAACATCGGCAATCGGTAGAGCAACAACCTCCCGCTTTGTAAGGTGACGGGCGTACCCACAACGATTAACGTATTTCGAATGGCATTCGATACGTGAAACACACGTCCAGATATACGTCAAAGTGCCTTCACTATACACGCCAAAGTTTAAAAAAAAAACAATGCGTAAATTTGGGCTTTATTCAAATGTGTACCGGATTAGGTGCATTGACTAAAATGCGTGGCGCTTGTTGCGCTTGCGCATTCTGCGCAGGCTTCAGGAACTGCGGGGCCGCGTCGGTTGCGGATGGCATCGTGGGTATGCGAGTGACGTGTGCGGTACAGTTATCCTTAGTGAACGAAAGTGAAAACTAAATGTGGGTGCGGTCAACGACCCCGGTCGGGTCGTCGACCGCGCCGAACTGCAAAGGCCGTTTGTGAGCGCGGAGGCCGTGTGCGCGACATTTAGCCGCGCGCAGACGCGTCCGCGCCCGCTCACGCTCGCACCACACCCGCGCCCATATTGCACGGCGCCGCCCGTAAATATTATTTATTTATCTCCAAAATTATGCTAAAGAACCAAGTTTACAACACAGTTGCCTTATAAATATTGCTCTAACCGAACCGAAAGTGAAGTTGAGTGTTGTAATCGAACTTATAAGGATTTTAATCACATGTATACACATTTTATGCAAGTAAACTGTTTATGCTTCGTAAAATTTATGGAACTATTGTGTTTTCACAGCATTATTTAAGAGATCCCTAAAGAATACTGTTGGTATATAGGTGTGTTCAATAAGCAATGAAGAGTTAGGAAACTGATTTGTAAAACACCAAGTGTAAATTACAAAAGAATATTGCGAAAGCTACAACATTAAAGCGTCAGGTCAAACTTAACTTTTTTACTTAATTTATAAAACTATATTCGTTGTAAAGAAACTCGCTTGTGATAAATTATACATCTGGATTAAAATAACTTTGGTCTAGATTAATCGGCGCTTCGATAGTGCTCTGAATACTCCTTATCTTGCTTAAATTTATTATCGTCAATCATTTACTTAATAATGTTGTTAATTTTCATCTTGGTGGAAACAATATATGGTTAAACTATGCGACCTTATGGTTCATAATATTATATTTCAATTGCATCGTCGACATCGTTCCATCCGAATCTTGGTTTTTGAATATGGTCAGTGATGGACTTCGGATTTCTGTCGTTAATTTAAAGTTGGTAGTATTAGGGAAAGATTTGATATTAAATGTAATTAGGTCGTACGGGTGTGATGGTTTCGGAGGGGAGATTGGTTAATTAATAGAAGAGACACGACCATTCGTATGAGGATTTAAGAATATACTCGAAGCGGAAGTTATCCCGACATATTCAGATTAATTTTCTCGAGAAGAAGTTACCAAACTTAATGTATAGAAGACGTACTTTCGTTAGCCTGGAGTTGTTATTAAATTACACCACATATATCAGACTATGCAGAACAGCACGCATCGTTACTTACCGTGAGTTCGTTTCTGTTTTCACAACATTATCTGCCGAAATTTACCCACAAGAAGACGTGGACAAATGCTCCACTCAGTGTTGCGGTAATACAAATTGGAATTCACTTTTCGCGAACAAAGTAACCGAATAAGGATATTTGTACTAGAACAGATGAACTAAGTTCACTCGTAAGCGCAATTGCTTATTTTTTTCTTATGTAAATACAGCGGGTTTCCTGTCTTAAATTACTATTTTTTTTTACAAAATCAAGAATATTAAAATGATTTACTTTTTATGCATATTTTAATGTTCAATATTAAGTGCAGAGAAAAAAAAAAGCAATGGCGACATCTCTCGTTTGAATTATCTTTGTAAAACGATATTCAATTTTTTTGTGTGCTGGAAAGGATATAACAATGGATGCGCCAAGCATTGCTTCAATGCTAAAACCAATGTAGATAAAAGACGTTAAGATTTTCGTCGGTGTAGCTATCAGCCCAGCTTAGTGGCTAACGCGTCAGGTAGCGAATTCCAAAGACGTGGGTTCGATTCCCACACCGACGACGATCTGTTTATACTTTTTCTACATATTTTAAAATGTTTTATTATTTCTTGTAAGTATAGCATCAAGTAGCATCATCTGCTCAAGGTTTAAAAAAATAAGCAGAAGATAACCTTTAATTCAATCTCGTAGTGGCATCAATAACATTGTTATTGCAATTTAAACACTGATTTACGCGGGCTTGACGAAGATTACCATGCGCTGACTCCTGTAAATGAAGATAGAAAATCAAAAGCATGTCAATTCGCTGCATTTGAGCGTACTCTACAGTATATTATATTATAGTAGATGTAAAATATTTTACGGTAATAAATAGCAAATAATTTATATGATTCTCTGTTGCTCTTCTTCTTATTACACTTGTAAAGATAAAAAATGTGCTTTTTGTTGAGTCATGTTTTAAACAGTTTATTGAATGTTTTTCATCTGTCATCGAATGGAAGATTACAACTTTACGCCATTTCGATACGCGTATTCGAGGAGAGCTTTGCTTCGTCATTATCTTGTATGTTAAAGTGTACTACTTTCTGTTGGTTGGAATATTCCTCAATTTTCTTAATTAAAGTAGGTAGCATTTTAAAATGGTATGGAACGTTACGTTCCCATATATTTCACTGATTCAAACACAGAAGATAGTAAACTTTACTTTTGCCAATGGGTTCATGTCGTATCTTTAGTAAACTTCATTGACGAAATTGTCCAACTCTGTGTCCTCATAGTCTTCTTTAACTTTCGACATCTGTGTTGGTAGAACCGAATATTCATACACCCCGAAGTGCAGGATCTGGGCTGAATCGTGATTATTGTTGCCGTAGTCCTGGCTTTAAACACCAAAGGGGCATGATTAAGGCTGTTTAATATTAGCAGCCAACACGGTCCGTGTTGGCTGCTAATATTAAACATATTCATGGGTAAATGTTTGTTAGCTGATGTTATAATATTAGACAGCATCTTTTCAAGGTACTCCGGCGGCATACTTATGCTTCACAATCAAGTTCATCAAGAAAGGGCAACAAGCAGCGACAATTGACCCGATTTCTCAGAGCATTGTGTCTACTATAGCCCTCAGCAAACAGATGAAAGTTATTGTTGACTTCGTTATTCAGATCGCCATTTTTATTTTATTGATGTATTTTTAGTACGAGGTTTCTTCTACATTTATGTACTGCTAAAAAATAGTTTTCAAAACAATAAGTTCAAGTTAAAAAAATCCTTCAATGGACATATTAATTTTCTGAGTAAATTTATAAACATAGTTGTTGGTGTCGTTATTTTGAATTATAAAGATCTGGAACTGGTATTATAGTTGATTGTGGAATGTAATTGACAGTTTGATTCCATTTTGGTGTATAGGTTATACAGTTAACAAGTAAATTTCTTACTGTAATCTAATAAAATACCCTTTATACATTTATTTACTATCATAAACCATTTTCAATGTCATCATCGAGTCCATCTTTACAACCTCGATACATTGATAATTTAAAATATTTTAATTACATTGTGTATTGATAAGATTGTCCTGATAAGCGGGTTTATATTTTTTATTGGAGATATCTTCTGCGGCCACACTTTCTATATATTTTACTGTGAAACTATTTATAACAAGTCGAAACTTAATTTATTCACATACATGCTTAGATCATATCTAGTTGAAATTAAGTTGGGCTTGTTTTATATCCAAAATATGCGTTTTGTATAGTAATTAAGTTAACACGGTTACAAACATTTATGACGTCGAAAAGGTCAAAACACTAACTACAGTTAAAGCTTCAAATAAATTGTGAAAGTTATTTTATGTATCCGTCGTATTTTGGCCATTAATTTAAAAGAGGAACTAGTTAATCACTATTATACTCAGTTGAGAATTAGCTTCCGTATTATTATCAAAAAACTTAATAATTTTTACAGTTATTTCAGACCTTCATGCACATTAAATTCTTAAAAACGAACCGAAGTACGGCGATAATACATGTAATACTTAAGTGTAATATTTCATTGTTTTATCAATAATTAAGGGATTCCTATTAACAAATTAACTTAAATCCTGAATTATAAACGAGGGTAAGCTTTTTTGACAGCGAAAGTGGTTAAATGTCATTAGTACGGTTGCATTTTTTTCGACAAACACATAAATCACAAACTTATATATATTCGATCGTAGAGATAAGAAAATTTAAACAATTCTTCATTTTTTCTTTGAATAAACTTTCAAATTTTGTAATTAATTTTCAAATTATCAAATTACCCTGGAAAAAAAGACTCCTTTAATTTATTGATGGTCCTAAACTGTACCAATAGTCCTAAACTGTACCAATAGTGCGTCTTCACAAACGTGCGCAAAAAAAAACCTTTCATTTGCAAACCAGTTTGGCCCGCTCACTTGCGGAATTGCGGTACATACTATTTAAATATATGATTTACTATCATTTTTCAGCTCCATTAGCGCTTCAGATGCTTTTAGAAAGTGCTCTCTCTCGGGGCTTAGTTGGAGTCGTGTAGCCGCTAAGAGCGACGCTGGCGCGCGTTGTCGCAACTAGGCCGCGATCCAAGCGAACGGGTCTCGACTTTTTGTTCGCGATGATGCGGAACAGAAGAGAGAAATTCGGCGAGATAAGGCAGCACTCACTAAGGAGGACACGGTCACGAGGAGTCATCGGCTCCGAACCCGCTGAATGTGGAGCGAGCGGAGTATTTCTCCTTGGGCCACGGTGCTTTGCAACCTGTCCGCCATGTGCTATAACCGCCCCAGGCCGAAATGCGGAGCTGGTTTTTGATTTGTGCATGTGTGCTGTCCACATGCCGCACCGGGGTCACCCGTGTGAGCCGCGTACAATCGTGGTAACTATTACGTTGCGGAGTGTGTCTCTCCAACTACGCAGCTAACCAAAACTAGAGGGGTGAGGTGGGGTAGGGGGGCGGTCTCGTTGACGCCGTTAAATACAACCTCGTCCACACGCTGCTCCGATCGCGCTGCGAGATAACGCGGCGCCGCAACTAGCTACTTTCTTCTGGGGACGTGATTTAAGCGACAAAGGCATTGTTCAAACGAGAAATGGCAAAATTTGCAGATTATATTTTCGAAAGCACACCGAGTCCTTATGTAAGAGTTCAATGTGACACTTCGTGCGAAGGCGGCGCGCGAGTTGGTTCAGCGCGCCACTTTCCTTGCAACCAAATATTTGGTTAGCTTCGTACGTTCTTAAACATATGCCAGTATAAATTATAGTTTATTTTCATATGAGTTATTAAACAAAGTATAAATAATCCCGATGTTTCACCCAAATATTTCAATAAATCACATCACAGCCTGAGATTTCTGATGCCCAATGTTATAAGTAAAGCTTTAGCTTTTCGATTATCCTCTGTATATAATAATGTACTATAGTCTGCTCATATTAAAGTTTATTAATTATAGTATCCCAAGCTATAATAATAGTATTACTATGTTACTACATATTCATATGTGTAGCATACACAAGTTATTACTACATATATAAAGGAACTAAAAATTCAATAGCATAATTTTTAGTTTCTTTATCAAATGATCTCATCGTGTCATCGTGAAATAGAATTTAAAGCAGAACTCGATAAAATCTATAAACCAATAAGTACTGTTCTCAGATACAAGAAGACTATTACAAAATATAAGATTAGGTAATTTAAGGGCTATAAATTTATAATGAAATCATTGGCGATTGAAAATGTATCAAATCTACCCGACAATGCTCGACTCTATCACTTGTTCAAAACTTGAAGGCTTTTTCGGCTAAGCTAAAAGTTTTAGGCTCGAAACCGAAACGGCCTTTGAAATAGATATTTGGCTGAAACCATAATCGATTCACGGTCGGCTTTTGGTTTAAGTTTGTGTTATTTATTACACTCACGATGACGGTTGGGATTAAATTACACGGACGACACGACACACGAGTAAAAAACCATTGAATGAAAACATTCCAAAATTGTTAAAGGTTAGCATATATAATATATTATTTGATTAAACTTAATAAACCAAACAAGGTAAGAAAATTTTATTTCGCAAATATTTCTCTGATAGTACAAGAAACAGCAAGTAGTTAGTATAAAATGTTATATTTACACATATAAAGAATCTGTGTTAATTTTCTTATTAACATAATTCTCTAAATAACAGAAATATTAACAAAAAAAAATTAAAGTAATTTTTTTTATTCATAAATGACCTAAATAACATAAATGACATAAATGAATGAAAAGACAGTCATTCAAGTATTTGTTTTTAACAATCAGCTAAATTAATGACTACACTGTGTCTTTCTTGCTAGCAATACCAAAAAGGTTGTGTGAATCTATATCTTATCTATTAGCCAATTCTTGAGACGAGTTTCGGCATTCTGGTGAACACAACCCAGATATTAAGTGAATAAAAACTGCTTGTCAAGTTGCTTTCCTTACATTATTTTCATAACTTTCTCTAAGGCCATGTTCAAATGAAAAAAAAAAATAGATAGTTCATAGCTATTGATATTATATCTATATCTATTTATACAAAAATTTATACCACCAGCTTAGTAATAAAATAAAATTTCCCAGTACCTATTTAAATTCTTATTTTAAAAATATTTTAATTCAAATATCCTTACGTGAATGGATGTAACATTGTAATATGAAAGGAAATATTTAAAATAAACCTTTAGTGATAATTATGTTTAGCAAATGTGTTTATATTAAGATAAGCACAATTGTTAGAAGCACAATCACCATAGGCTCACGGCATTTATTGTTGCTTGTGTATTTAGTACACCTACTCATTTATTTTAATGAATGGTCAGAGTATGTTTGTATTTGCGACGGCGACAGCGATGTGTCGAGTGTCGTTCGAAGAAGAATCTCGCAATGACAGCAGCCGCACCACTGGCGGGTTCGTCGACCTCCGGCTACGCTTTACATTTGGCGAACAATGATTTGGTGTGGCGGGGTGAATGGCCGCGCTCGGAGGAGCGTGGGCAGTTATTGACCCATATTGGAGGTGAAATGTAGATCAGTGGGCGAGAGCGGCGAAATTTGCCGCGGAGTCGACTCTGCGTACGGCACGGGCGTCGCGTACGCCCCGCCGCCGCGTCGGCCCCACGGCTCACTCGCCTCTGAGTCCGCACGACCGATGCGACCATAAATTGTTATTTGCATAAAGTTGGCCGTTCGTTAATTGGTTTGTGTTTGTTGTAACGGTCCCGTTTAAGCTCTTAACCTGCTAATAGTTTATATGATTCTCTAAATGAAACTTGATGAATGTTTTTATTAGCGATACCAGAATAGCTATTCGTTTTAATCAGGTTATTGAAGCTGCACATTTTTTAGCGTTTTTTGAAAAAAATAAGAGAGTAAATTATTTTCGATGCGCGCGGACACCGACAGGCAAAAAGCCACATGATGAAGTATGATGTAAAGTTGGACGCCTCGCCATTTTCACGGTATTACCATGGTAACCAACTTTTTGACATTTACATTTAATTCCAAATGATTTAATTAAACCGTTATCAATTGCTTTAAATGGCTTTTCACAAACAAAGAGTATTGGCATCGGGGATAAAAATAAATTAAGTTATTTTTCTTTTGTAACGGTAAACAGTATAATTATATATATATATATATATATATATATATATATATATATATATATATATATATATATATATATATAGAAATTATACAGAGTATAATTTCTTATGTGCGTCCATAAGTCGCACCCTGCGTAGAACAACGTGAAGTCTGCAAAATTGTAATTGTTCAGGACGGCCGATTCATATTATTATTTTTTTATTTTGGTTATAGTTTTCTTATACATAGCAGCTTCTATTACAATTTTTGAGGTTTGTAATATGATTAGGTATATTAACAAACAGTACACTTTTTGAATAAATAATTATATAAATTTAAGAAATAAACGTTTTCATGTGTAATAGTGACGTTTTCGTATGGAAAATGGCAAAAATTTATGGGTCACAAGTTCATATATACACGTTAATATATAACGTTATTCAACTAAAAACTCAGAAAATATGTATGACATAAACGCATGTAGCACTTTTTTCGACGCAAAAACCATAAAAAGTGGGTTATTGTGCAATAATTGTCAATTTACTCTAAATAGAGTATATTACACTCGTCTATTACATTAGTAAGCTTAGTCTAGTCAGTACAAAAAACCAGTGTCTAAACGTACATGTCCCTGTACTGCGGAGCAAAAATCAGATAGAACGTTTTTCTATTCTCAATCTCAATATCTATGTCAGACGAAAAAAAAATTATTGTCATCTGAAAGCGTAGACAATAATTAAGACTTTCCGACGATAAAATATAAATTCGTTCTATGTTACCACAGAACGTTATTCTACGCACGCTGCGAAGTAGAAACATACTTTTTTTAATATGTTGAAGTAATTCATTTCACAACTTTCTTTTTGTAAAATAGGTGATTACCTATAGGTTTACGATAAATCATCGTAGAAGCAGCTGCTGGGTATAAACAAAGGATTGGATGTTTTTCTTTTTGCATCGCCGAATGTCTGACCTATTTCGACACGTGTGCGAAATGCCCAGCCATTCAAAATATTTACGATCCTTCGGAACCGTTAAATGGCTCTTTGTCCAGGCCCAGACACATAAAAAGTTCCGAATTTCCAAACGTCCCATTAATAGCTTTCCATGTATCGTGCCTTTGGACGTCGGAAGGGACGACGAATCTAGAAAAGAATGCATTTATTTTTTGTTTGCGATAACCACGATACCATATCTATAATTGTGTCGTATAAAATGATAGCTTCTACATTTTAAATCGGCTTAAAGTGTACTATTAATACCTGTTATATATCGAAGAATTATAATAGTTTATCTAAGTATTTATTAATTTATCCTTTTCAACGAGATCAAGTTCAGCGCAGGTAAATGATTATTTAATAATCATTGCTCTATATTGAGCAAATATTCATTATTAGTATGTACCTCTTTAAGAAAGCTTTTTTCCGTATGGCAAAACTCAGGCCATGAAGTGTGCAGGATAAGGATTTTTCACGTTAAAAGATTTCTTGTGCCATGTGTCTCCTTTCTCTAGTCATCAAGTAAATTTCTTCATGTAAAGCTTCGTGCAATATAAAGCCTGCGGAAGTGCTGGATAATATTCTGGTAATAAATTCACCGCCTCATTAATTTGGTGAAACATTTATGAAAATTTATATAATCACATTATCTATAAGAGTTTGCACTTGAGACGAAGAACTTTACTACAAAATTTCTTTTCGACTTTTACGTACAAAACAATTCATTAAAATGTGTGAACACTTCGTATCAAACACTTCAAATCGTAGCGTATTTATGTCAGCGTTACTTATAATTACATAAACAAGATTAAAAAAAGTTTAAAGAAAGACTCGTTAACATTTATACGTCTTATTTATGTCATTATAATGTTCGTTGTAAAGTCGGACATGGTCACTAAAGGTTTATTTATGGTTATCTTTAAAACTTTGCTTTATTTGCGATTCTTACGTTATAACGACTCACAAGAGAAAGTTTTAGTAATTTCTCTAAATTTAGATACGAAATTAAGGCGCATTAATAGTGAGGTCGTTCGTTGTAATAACATTATTTTTGTTAATGACTTTCTAAGCATTGCAAACTCAACAATAATGGCCATTTATCAAAATTTAGGTGAATCCATTAATAGTTTTAATTCATTGTACTATGCAGTTACTACAGGAAGTACTCTTTCTTATAATAGGTACATAAAAGTATTCTATATGTGTAAGAT